ATAAACTTAAAAAACTTGATTTTAAATTGAAAAAAAAATTAAAATCCATTAAAATCCACACCCGGAAAGAAAGTGAAAGTTTTCCTTTTGTTAAGAAGAAAGGAATGCTTCCGCGGCCATTTTCTTGTCACTTTCACTTATAGCAGGCAATAAAATCCCAATAAATCTTCGAGTTAAAGTCACTTTTTAACTAAAATAATGATCCCCTGTCAGATTCCGTCTGTTTCAAAGGTTACTCACAAGCAGCTACATTGTAACAGCAGTGGCAGCGACGTCTGGCTTCGCTCCAAGGAACGAAAGCATACCGAGCTGCGGAGAAGAGGCTAGGACTCCGGGGGAATTCTCACCTAAACCCCCCCAGGAACGCTCCTGGGGGGATTAGGGAACTCAACCCCTATCCCAGCCAAACTCACTTTCTCCCCTTCGCCCGGGGAGAAAGTTCCGAGCCGCAAAACAGCTGATCCACGCTGTTTTGACGGCTTTGACGCAGTCCCGGGCTGGAGGCTCAGGAAAAAGCCTCCTCCGGTGGTGCCTCGCCACAGGAAGCTCAAAAATATTTAATGATACAGGTAATAGCCATATACTCCATAGCCATGAAGTTGTGCAATGCTCTTAAAAATATGTGACTGCTAGGAGGATAATAACAATAACAATAACAATAATAATAATAAAATTGGAAGGGACCTTGGAGGTTATCTAGTCCAACCCCCCAACTCAGGCAATAAACCCTCTGTATCGAAGAGATTGATAGAATATAGAAAATTGACTATGACGTTATCTATGTTGTATTTTTCTAGATCATGATTGCCCAGAAGACCAAATCTATGTTAACTGTAGCCATCCACCAACTATGGAACTTGGCAGGGAGAGAACCTGTGAAAATCAACTGCTAAATATTTCTGTGTCTACACAGCTTTCATGCTTTTCAGGATGCATGTGTCCCACTGGGTAAGTAAAAAAAAATGCCGATAATATTTCGTCTATTTTTATCATGCAACATAGCTTCTACTTCCATCAGCACTGAGTGCCTACAAATCCATGTACGGTTTCTCGTTCCCTTTTAAGTAATTGAAAACCTTTAATGAGCATGTCCAGTTCCAGAACTAAGGAGCAGTTTTGCTCTCTTGCTCACCTTTTTTTACGTTGAGACAACACAGCATGCAGAATGGCACAACTCACTGCAGCCAACTCACCACGGCCAACTCATTGCAGGACAACTCTCTATGGCCAACTCGCTGCAAAACAACTAGCAGCAGGACAATTTAACAATTCAATTTAATTATTTAAAATAAATAATTTTTTTTAAAAAATTGTCATTCACATTTTGTTCTGTCCCTTCTTTTGCATCCTTTCTTTAATGTTTCTATTCCACCATTTCTTTGATGTTAGTGTAACTCTTGTCCTGCAGCAAATTGTCCAGCAATGAGTTGACCGTGGTGAGTTGTCCCATAGTGAATTGGCCACGGCAAGTTGGCTGTGGCAAGTGGGCCACGGCAAATTGTCATAGACCCCACAGCATGAGGCAATACAACCAAATCAATAGTTTAAGCAGCACAAATATCTATCTGCAGTACTTATATTTATTTCTTTGCATCCTTTGAGTTTCATTGTCTATCTCTTTAAAGCAGGATATTTCCTTCTCATTAATGTTAGGACATGGTTAAGTTGGTGAAGCTTTATGTTTTTATACTTTATGCCCAGAGTTCTATTTTCTTAAAAATGGTTAGCTGGAAAACTATGATTTTAAGTCCTGAAATTTCAACTTTTGTAGTAGTTCTAAAGAAGGGAGAAGAGAATATGTGTTTGTATCTACAAGTCCTGCACAGAGAGATTGGTTTTCACACATTCACCAATTCAGTAAACATTCTGTATTTGGTGCTGCATCCTGTAAGGCCTCGTAATTGTGAACTACGCTTTCAGTGGGTTATACTTGTAGGCCTATCTATCAGAAGAAAGTGTATTCTTTGTATTTTGTATGATGCTTCCCATTAATCAGGGTTCTCCATGGATGTCAATATCTACATTTAATGTTCAGTTTATGTCTAAAAAATAAAAACTCATTAAAATCACAGATACCAGGATGCCAAACATGTTTCTCTCATTCTCTTGAGCTGCTATTTCTGGCAATAATTAGCACTGAATTTTATGACAACATTACTGTTTGTTCATCATTCGTTTTTTTAAATCTGTGGTAGCTTCCCAATGAAACCCGCTTCTTAGAAATCCATACTAGGCACATCTATGTCATGTCTGGATAAAACAGAAAGATATCTGTTAAACTATGTTTTCAGGATTCCTGGTTCTTTAACTCCTGGGAGTTAAAGTCCACAAGTTTTAAGGTTGCCAAGTTTGGAGACCCCTTGCCTTAAAGGCCACAAGGGGTGGAAAGGACAGCAACCTCATCTGCTTCATAGTATTGTAATAAAGCATTGTGGTACATTTCAGCACAATCAAAGTTTAAAATAACTCTGAGAACAGAGGATATCTCAGGTTCCTCTCTCCACTCTCAGTTCAGAATATTGCAATCATCACTAGTACTCATTTGAAAATGAAATATTGAAACCTCTGTGGCAATCTGTATGTATGCCTGTTTTGCTCTAAATGTTTTTCTTGCCCTCAGTTTAAAATATCTTCCCGAACAGATGGCATAGCAGATCAAATAACTTGTAAGAAGCTTAAATAAATTCCTGGAACATTTGCTAAAAAAAAAAAAGACAAAAAATCATCACTTTCTAATTTTGCCCACAAACACACATACAAAAATAATTTTAATGGAATCCAAGAATGTCTCTTATCAATGGCCAGAGAGAATTAGGGAACTAATTGCATAGAAGGAATTTAATTTTGAAGCCATGTTTTTTGAGAGTCCCCTTAGGTTACTGTTGGAGTGAAATAATGAATAATTTTTGGTGTATTTTTTATTAAATAAGCAGCAGTTCCAAAATGATACAATTCAAAATCATGCTCATACATTAGAAATATAACATTAAAATAGCCTGGAGTATGTATCATAAAATGAAATGTCTTGTTTTTTAAATCCATACAGTATTTCAAGTAGAAAGCCTTAAACTTATAGATTGCATTCAATGTAACATTAGCAGAAAAAGTAGAAGAGACAACATTGCATGTTACATTTAGTGGTTGTGTCTTCATATACCAGAACTCAACAAATGTGAGATTTTTCTAAATAATTTGTAATGAAATATTTATCCTTCATCTTAGAGACCGTACTTCTGAAACTCAAGAACCAAACACATGAAGTACTAATTCTGCTCGGTAAAAGCTTCTTTAGAACAATGAAAATAGTCCTTAATAATAAATATAAGTGTGGGTTCTTAATTTCCCCCCCCTCTAGGATTTCATAATTCTTTAAAATGAATAGCAATTAAATGCATTTATCATTGGGTGGAGGAATGGTGCCAGGCTATAACTATTGTTTAAATCTCCTGCAAAAGCACCTGACTGAGGTGCCTATAAAATTAAATAGTATGTTGATCAAATTATAGTATTTATAAGTGGGTGCCTTCATTTAATTTTATCTGTACGTTGTACATCAAACATTGACATTTGTGAATAATGACCATTCATAGTAAAAATAACCCATTTGTCATCTTCTTTTTTTATGAATTCTTAGATCCTTGCAATCAATCTGTCTGCCTGGCTTTTCAAAAGAGAAAGCTGTTAGCACTTGTTTTATGTAGGATTATATTTCAGAGATAAAACTTGCACTTTTGTCTTGCCTGGCTAAAGTGATGCTCTTTGTTTCTGAATGCAACCTCTTTTGTTGGTAGTATAAATCAGTGGGAATTTTGTAATTCAGAAAAGGTGGGAGGGCTGTATTAATAAGTTTTAAATAAAGACCCTAATGTTAAAAGGAAAGAGAAACTATGATGTGGTTACTGATTTTCTTTTCTTTCAGAAAAATTGGAGAAACTAGAAAATTATTTTAATAAAATATGTTAAAGGCTTTGTTTTCTCATGCTAAGTTTATAAAAGGTAACTCCTATAACTACAGCCAAAGAAATTCTATGTATTTATCTGAAAAGATTGATTGAAAAGAATAATCATGCAAAATATTGCATCGTTTCCTCAACCTTGGCAGCTTTAAGATCTGTGGACTTCAACTCCCAGAATTCCTCAACCAGCAATTGCTAAGGCTGAGGAAACACGGCATTAAGCACATTTGGAATCCAGGAACATTATAACTGGGAACATACCAATAGACAGCCCAGGACAACCCTGGAAGTTTTTAAGAAGAGACTGGACAGCCATTTGTCTGAAATGGTAGGGTTTCCTGCCTGAGCAGGGGGTTGGACTAGATGACCTGCAAGGTCCCTTCCAACTTTATTATTATTATTAACCCATTGCCAACCCATTGCCAACAACCTGGAGACTATAACAAATGTTCATTTCTCCTACAGGGCCTAGTACTGTGCTGCTTTCAAACACTAATAAGATCAGATCCAATCCCAAAACGACACAGCAAAATCCAAATGACTCTAATTCTTTTTTTGCTTTCACCTAATAGACAGAATCTTGCCAAACTAAAACTACAATCTTCTATTAGATATGTCCTAAGAGATTCTAGGGTGTGGCTACCCTGAACCTCTTCCTCACACCTCCAGTTCAAGATTGTGCAGTGTCTTAATCTGGACCAGTCTATGGGAACCCTCTTTGTTGCCAAAACTCTCTGGCCTCCGCTCCTCCAGGTGCACATTCCATCATAAATATGCAGAAGTTTGAAGTGGTAGGCACCAAAAGAAGGTCCTCCTGACAAGTTCAATTTCTTTGTTGCTTTTGCTTTTGTGTGGGAGATCGGCACAAGCTGTCTAAAGGTGAGGCCTTTAGCTGAGAGAGGTGCCCAATCTTATATTAGCCCATCCTCTGAAGTCCTGAGAGTCCCACATACATAACTGCAGCTGCAAAAGAGATCGGGAACATAACAGAAGAAGCCATTCTAAAGGGGGGGAGAAAAACGTCTAGGGTGAAATTAGATAATGTCGAGAATGATTTTCATTAAACTTGCAACACAGTAATGTTTAGTCCATTCTTTACAGTGTGTATTTTCGATAAATGGTATAATACATTGGTATAATGGTGTAATACTTTTCATAATCCTCATTCGATTTGAATGTTTGATAGATCATCTCTTATGATAGTAATTTTGTAATTGGGTTACTTGATGCTGCCTGAGAAAGACAAAATCTTGCCTGGGCTTGAAAGCTAAGCAGTGTGCGGCTTAATATTCATTACTGGGATGGGAGATCACTATGGAAAATCAGTGATTTGGGTTAATTTGAAAGAGATAGAGGCAAATCCTTTCTGGACTGTTGCCAAGAGAAGTACATGGTTTGTCCATGAAGTCATAAGGAGTCAAGCTTAACTCAAAGGAAACTGTCCTAATGCTAAGAATATCAGCTACCCTATTTTAGTTATAGTTCCTATTCCTGTAGAACATATTGGATTTTATTCAGGATATTATATATCAGTAAAACAAAACATATTTTCTGGCAATTAATAGTCATATTTTGTTATGTGGTTATCCAGATCTCCTTAGGAACCTTTGCCTAAAGTGCACAGAGATTTCTCTAGAGGAAAAAAAAGTGGGGGAAATACATACTTTAACTGCAACTTTCTGATGATGCTATTAAATGTCACAGTTCACAATTCTTAGTTTGATGAAAAGTTCTTTAGCTGAAACTGACAGACATGATTTTGCTGCATTTGAGCACACATACTTTCATAAAAAAAAAGAGGAAGAATACTACAAGCCAAGTCTTATTATTCTCTGCAGTAAGGTTTTTTCCTCTTTCACTGAAGCTCTTTGTCTTCAGTGATATGGGGTGGAAGATCAGCAATGTATCCCAGTAGGATCTGTCTGTCTGTCTGTCTGCCTGACTGTCTGTCTAGCTATCTACCTATCTACCTTTCTATATCCAATAGTATTAAAAATATAACTGACAATGAATACCTGTCTGCTGTTTCAACAGGCTTTTTAAATACGGCGATATGTGCTTCAAGCCAAATGAGTGCCCATGTTCTTGGAAAGGCAAAGAATATTTTCCTGGGGACAAAGTAATTTCTTCTTGTCATACCTGGTCAGTAGAAATAATTTCCTTTATTCATTAATGTTTATTTTATACATGCCTCCCAGTGTGATATTTTTGAATGTTGTTTTTTCTTCTTAATGGACTCGAATTCCATTTTGTACTAACAGATAGTTAAACAAACCTTCAGTGGCTCCAAAATGGATTAGGAAAGAATGAATACAAAGGGACTACTATTAAAATATTTTATTTGGGTTATGATTCAGAAGCAGACTCTTTCTCCTTTTTACAAATTTAACTTCAACTTTAAATCCTGTGTGTGTGTGGGGGAAAGCCATTAAAATTAGTGGGAAAAAAGAAAAGGTCAGACACATGTTTCCTCACTGAGGCCTTCTTAAAGTCCTTCCTGCCAAGGCTATTTTTTAATTTTTTTTAAATTATACAATATTTTTTCATATCTTAATATGTAAAATGTAGTTTATCTCCAAGTCTCCCCAAAATGTGAGGCTAATAATTTTTTCCCCAGTTTAGTCCTCATTACCTTTTCATACTTGAATTCAAAAGAGGTGGTTTTTTTGACTCAAGAGTGTAAGAACTTTCTGATTATTATAATTTCACCTTTAATTTTATTGGCACTTTCACAGAGCCCTCGGGTTTTTTTTAAAAAAGAACCTAGCTCTTTCACCATTCCTTTTCATAAACAGTTTCATCTAGGTTCATCAGCCAAGAGCTGAAAACTGCTTTTCCTATGAACCATATGAACAAATTTATTAAAATATAAAGTAGCATCTCATCACCAGGACTGGCAGGAATGTATTATATAAGTAAGTAAGACATGGCATTACTGAAACCCACAATATGCAATAAGCGGTAACATATTTCAATCCTTTGCTTCTTACTTTCCTATCAAACTTCTATTAATTGGACCTTTTGATTCTGCTGGGTAACCAGGTCCTGTTACAGCAGGACCAAAGGAAAAATTATCCAGGCTGTTCCAGTCAGCACTTGTCCATGCCTTGTCTGGATGTCTTTGCCCACTCCAGCCTTGTGCTGACTGACTGCATCTGCCTTTTGTCAGGTCCTCAATATCTGCTTAGAAGACATTTATAGCCTTTTGGCCGACTGGCGAAACGACTTACAAGCCATCTCCACTTGGCAGGAAGGTAAATGACCCCCCAGATGCCTCCCTTGTTCCCAAACCTCTGTATAGATATAGCTGTCATTGATGCTTGGCATACAAACACAGAGAAAAAGAAAAGCCTTTAAGAACCTTACTTCAGGGGGCTGGGGGCAGTTCTGAAAATACAGTAGTAAGCCACAGCTTTCAGCTTAAAGAAGAAAACGTATTTGCTGAGAAATCTAAACATAATTCTTAACATGTAGTGCAAAGGAAAAAGTAAATTGTTGGTATATCCTCTTATGTTCTTGTTAAGAAATGGATTCTTATCACAGTATAAACTCCCTCCACAAATCAGTAGGAAATTAACTTCAGGTCTTCCATGTGAATTAAATCTCAGTCTGTTTTATGGAATTTTCAAAATGTTTGATAAAAAGTTATCTTGTATGGTTATTATGGACTGTTCTTACATTCTAGAGTCACCTCTTGATGAGATGGGCAGCATATAAAACAAACAAACAAACAAATAAATAAATAACCTGTTATTGAGGCCCAGGGCTCACTTGCAACACAGATTACATTGAGGATTACATGTGATGGTAGACCTATTTTTTTTCTTATATAAATAATACTGAGAACAGAAGGACCTGTATAGGAAGATGCTTTGAAATAAGCCACGTCTGCTTTTAAAATTATCCCGTTTTGTTGTTTTGTACAAACTATATGCCCATTAGAGACAGTGTATGGAATTCAGTGGCAGGTTTGTTGTCAGTGGGAGTGGCTTCCCTCATCCATTGAGGAGGGACAGCAATGCCACCTTTCCTACTGCCCTCCCTTCTATGGCAGAGTCTACTCTGGAGAATCCCCCACTGTTTTCAGGCAGAGCTTTGGGACACAATAGGGGGTTGCAGGGTTGAGAAGAAGGAATAGTCAGCACACAGAGACTTCTGCTCATTTGCTTTAGGATTCAGCTCGGTGTTTGAACAATAAAAAATTGAAAGTAAATAATCAACTAAAGAAACAAGACATGGGTTTTGTAACATTCATACAATGCAGGTTTTTCCTCCTCTTTTTGACAGTTTGTTATTTTATGCTTTAGTGCTTCTCCTTTCTTTATTTTTCTATATTTCTTTGGTTTATTGTTAAAATCAGTTCCTTTGAGACATGAGACATGGAAGCAACAATAAGAATGCATGAAAAACTCATGTTTCCCGATCTAATTATATCAAATGGGAAAAAGACAGGTCACATAGCGAGTTGCATGTTCTGTACATTCAGTGGAAAAATGCATGCCACAAATCAACACACTGAAAATTCATTGAAGAAAAAGCTAAAATAAAAAAAAATTGCTGATTTAACTATGTGAATTAATTAGTTTAGTCTTACTTGTTCTTAAACCTCTGCTTCCATTAAAATACCTTAAAGTAAGAATCTGAATTAAAATTATTGTTGATAGCATATGCTACATAAAAGAAGTTGAGCTATATTGGCAATTAGCAATTAATATGCTAATTGCCTAATATAGTCAGTCTGTACATTATATTTTTTACTTAAAGGATTTAGTTTCTGATATAAGATAGATGTTTAATCAAATTAATGAAATGTTTTATTCTTTTGAATGTGGGATGTCATGATATAACTGACTTCTTTCATGACAGCAGTATGTTAGAGTGTGCAGTCTGTTATGGGCATAAGAATAATTATAATTTATATTTGCAAGGAATTCTGAAAATGAATTGCTTTACCTACATAGATCTTTTCTGTTCAAATAAATATTAGCTTAGCTGCATGTACAACAATTTTGTACAAGTTCTGAATTAATGGACTAGTGAGTAATTTGTAGGATCATTTTTAACAGAGTCATGCTATCTGGTTACAGATTATATCTAGAAATTATGGTTTATTTTTGATACTGTAACTGTTATAAATTTATTCTGTTTTAGCATCTGTAGTCATGGCTCATTTAAATGCAATTTCCATCCATGCCCATCAATGTGTACTGCATATGGAGATCGCCATTATAGAACTTTTGATGGCCTGTCTTTTGATTATGTTGGAAACTGTAAGGTTTACCTGGCTAAGGTAAGACTTTATTTTAAAACATGTTCAGTTTTTAAATTAAGTATTGTGCTGTGCAATTAAAAAGAAACCTAAACATTTGTAAACTGAATAGGAAAAGTATTTAGTTTAATTACTCATAGTGAAAATAAGTTTGTTCTATTCAAAATTTTAATTATTATATTGGGAACTATTCATATATGGATATATTGTATTGAATTCAATTGTATTTGGTAATAATATGTATTAATAAACAAATAAAAAGTAATTAATAGATCAAAATACTGATGAAATAAGTGATTCTGAGGCTAAACCAAACCATGATATAAAATACCAAGCAGAAGCTGTCCAATCTTCAGGAGGAAGAGAATAGCCAAATAGCAGGTGACTTGAATCAAATGGGAGGAAAAACATAGAGTGTAAACATTTGAGCAGACATAGATATATAGCCATTGATTCAGCAAAGGAGCATATCCTGGAACCAGTCTTTGGAAGTCCTGGTTGCTTCCCCAATAATTGCTGCTATACTTTTTCTCATTGACTTCCTCCATGTTTATGAATATATGGCTGGAAAACACAGCAAAGACATACCCCAATTCCTGATTCATTGCTACCATCTAATAGTCTTCTTGAGTTTCATAGCCTAGATAAAATAAGCCTAAAAAGTATTATTTTCAAATGGCTGAGTTTTTTTAAAAAACCCGAATATTTGGTGGGACTGGAAAGGTGAGTGAAGAGCCTTGCAGTGTTCGCATCCAGTGTTGCTCTCGTTGATAAGAAACAGCTATGTGACTCTTGTCTTTCATTGTACTCTCTCAACACTCTCAACACTCTCTCAATACTCTCAATTGTTGCAGCTTTGGAAGGAACTCCTGGCATTCAAGCTCTTCTACTAATGTTGAGCTCCATCTGCAAGATTTTGCCTTGGGGCCCAGAAAACTCTATGTTAGGGGTCCTCAAACTTGGCCACTTTAAGACTTGTGGACTTCAACTCCCAGAATTCTATGGCTGGCTGGGGAATTCTGGGAGTTGAAGTCCACAAGTCTTAAAGTGGCCAAGTTTGAGGACTCCTGCTCTATGTATTGCTTTGCTGCTATCTTGTGAGACTTATCAGTATAAGGTTGTTGAATTAAAAATCATATCCGAATATAAGTCCTGAATTAACAATCTTATTAATGGCTAATCAGTGACGTGGGGACATCTTTTTCTTTGCTGCATCTTGTAAAGCAGCTGTTCCTGCATTTATGCCACAGATGGTAGAAAAAGAAGAGAAACTGTTAGGCTGAACAGTTGGAGAGGTCTAAGGTGCATTTCATGTTTGCAAATTGGAATCAGCTGCCTTATTATCTTTTTTTTCTGCAGAGTTCCTCAATTACTAGTTTCTCAGTCATCATAGAAAATGTCAACTGCTTTAACATTGGAATCGTTTGCAGAAAGTATGTTTCCATTAATGTAGGAAAATCGTTCATAATATTTGATGATGACACTGGAGATCCGGTAAGCTATAGCAGAACAGAAGTTAAGATATGTAGATAATGCATCAAACCCAAAACACTGTCATTCATTTTCATATTGCATGATAAATATTAGCAATCCTTGAACTTCAAGAAACTCTTAAAATTAGTCATGCTTATTTATCTATGTTTTAGTCTCCCTTTTCCTTTCTAAGCATTATGGATATACATTTCTTCATGCACGATATTTATAGTCCATCACACAGTACATATTTGCTTCTTTTGTTTTCCATTACCGTGTTATACCAGCATCTGGCATCATCTAGTACAGCGGTCTCCAACCTTTCTGGCTTGGCGGACTGGTGGAGGCGAGATAGGGGGAGAGAAGGGATGGTTGTCTGCGTGTGCCGCTTTCACAAATTCAGCTTTGCGTGTGCACGTGCTCACCCACCACTTCTGCGGCCCAGTTCCAAATGGGCTGTGGTCTACCAGTGGGCCACAGACTGGGGGTTGGGGACCCCTGATTTAGTGGAAGAGTTCTGAAAGCAGCTAGAAAATAATAAATAGCTTACAGAGGAAGACAAAGTGTAATCCTCATTTTAAATGTACGTCCAAAAGCATTTTAAACAAATCCAGTGTCTCTTGGGTCACATCAAATATTTCTAAAAATAGATCCACATAAAAAAATAATATGATAAATCTAGACAGAACTATAATAGCGTTGTTTTCCTAAATGCATGTTTATAAGTCATTGTAAAGCTTTCATTAAATGCCTATAGTATATTATGCATATCTGATATTTAATAGAGTCATCTGAGTTACATAGACAAACTGCAGCAAGTGTATATATGGAAGGCTGGGTTTTTCACCATTGTTCATTTTCCTAATGAACACATCACAGTAATGTGGGATCAAAGAACAACTGTTCATGTGGAGACAGGGCCTCAGTGGCAGGTAAGACAAAACTTCTCTTACACTTTTAATTCCTTATTGACTTCATTGGGACAGCTTTAAGTTTCCACTGGAATAAATGGAATTTCAAAGAATGTGAAAATTGGTTTGTGTTTGTTGGTCATTGTGGGGCATATGGATTCTAGTGGCCTAGTGTGCCTGCTATTTTCCTGGTGTAAACCAGCATATGGAATGAGTAAAAAGGGAAAATAGCTCAGGAATAGCAGTGCTGTCGTAAGAACTGATGATCTGATCTGGCTGCTAGCCAAGGCTACTTTAGTGAGCTATTGGGATAGCAGTGTCAGTGGTCCACCTGATACAAAGGTGTGGGATATTAAAGCCAAGGGAAGGCATCATCTCCTTAATTGCTGGGGGACATAACCTCAACATTGGAAAGAGAGAAAAAAGGAGAGAAGAGGGAAATTCTATGCATGGCCTGATTAGAGTGATGTGAGAGAAAGGCTGGAGAGTCAAGTTAAGTTTGTGGTTCCTGGTTGAGAAAAGAAAGGTTTAGGGTGGCTTTCATGGAAGAAGGGAAGTGAAGACCCAGAGGGATAAGAGCTCCACCCAAGAATAGAAAGGAGGGACTTGGGCAACTGTAGGTATCAGCTTCAGTTAAGACCTAAGAAGGAAAGGAAGGGATCAGCTTTGCAGAAGGAAGGACTGGGCAGAAGACCCAAGAGAGTCTTCTCCCTCCAACAGAGAAGCAACAGGTGTTTGCCTGAGCAGGATAAGGTCATGCCATGCTGAGCACACTGCAGTAAATTCTGGCCTATTCTTTTCATTCTTTTTCTTGTCATGCTCAGAAATGGGGGGGGGGGGGGAGCCAGAGAGCTAGAGGTTGGCTAGTCTCTGGGAGAGGGACTTAGAAGGAAACTTGACACCAGTATTGTTTGTAATGTGTTGCATATAAATGTTGCAAATGCTTGCTGTAAATAATAACAAGCATTAAAGCTTCCACACTCTTGTTTTTCTGTATCTATTGCCACCATTGGAAAATAAAGTACCTCCAGTTCAAAAAAGAACCAGTTTCTCACACTCTGACAGTCTTTCATTGGCTTAAACAACAGTAATAAGGGGGGTGGGGAGGGGGAGAAGCTTAGATTTACACTAATAGCATTTTTTAGTGATCAGCTTTGTCAATAAAAAATTAAGATTGAAGGGGGATGGTAATGTCACTGATGTCACTGGAAGAATGGGGCATATTTTTTTCAGCACCTTTTTCAGGTTGAGGATTTAATTTATCTAAAGCGAATATGTGTATTAAATCTATTGGAGAATTAACATATCTATTTTACTATTGGGGGTTATTTTTAGCTGGCATTCAATTCAATGATTTGCCATGAAATTTTGGTAGCATAAGCTTAGGGTGAAAAGGGGCTGACTGGGGAGGCTGCATGCAGATTGTGAATCTATTGGCTGTGCAATAGAATTTGGGTTGTGTGCCAGTTGCACTGATTCTTCAACTGGGAAACTACTTCCTGTCACTCATGCCCTTGTGACCTCCTATCTGGAATACTGCATCATGCTGTACACGGGGCTGCCCTTGAAGAGCATTCGGAAGCTTCAGTTGGTGCAGAATGCAATTGTATGGGCAGTAAATGGTGTCGACACATGTAATACCACTGCTTTGTGAGTTGCATTGGTTACCAGTCTGTTTCAAAGTACTGGCTGAACTTCATAGCTTGGGACCAGGTTACCCAGTTCAATAGGATGGTCAAACTCTGAGTCCTGTCAGCCAAGAAATGTTGCATAATAGGGACTAGGAGGCATGTCCTTTCTGCAGCAACGTCCTCCCTCCAGAGGTTAGGATGGCCCTGATCCTGCTGGGCTTTCATAAGGCCTTGAAGACCTGGCTATGTCCCTGGGGTCCCATTTGTGTTAAGGGCGCTGTTTCCTGCTTATGTTAAGATCTATGGATAATATTTTCAGCTGCTGTATGTATTTATTTTCTATTAAGTTTTAATTGATTTTATGATTGTTTGCCACCCAGAGCCATGTGTTTGACATGGCTGGCCATATAAATTCAATAAATAAATAATACTCCTGCCTATTTTCCCCACAACAACCATCCTTGAACTGAGAGAGACTTACTGGCCCAAAGTCTCCCAGCCAGCTGTCAAGCCAAACAGAAAGCTAGATTCCATGTTATTAGTGCAGAAAGTAATTATATCAGATTTAGGGTTATAAGTGTCTGTAATTAAGAGTTATTAATTTTATCTCGTGTCTAGGGTGAGCTGACTGGATTATGTGGAAATTTTGACTCCAAAACAATAAATGAAATGAGAACTCCAGAAAATTTTGAGTTAACAAATGCACAAGAATTTGGGAGCAGTTGGGCAGCTATTGAGGTAAAGTGTTGGAGGATGATATATTGTTCTTTATTGCCTAAAATTAAGCACCAACGGTATTTATTGATTTATAGTAGGGTATAGGAGCCGAATTTCTATCAATACAAATACTTGGAGGGAATGGAAAAAGAAAGAAGATGAATGCTCTGTTGTTGTTGCTTAGGAACTTTTGAAGTAAGAAGCCATTACCTGTGAACTCTGTTTTCCATATGATATAACATCCTGATTTTTCAAAGATTCTGTACATTGCAGAGTCTTTGCAAACTACACAGCCAGAGAAGTCACTTGGCAGCAGAAATTATTCTTCCATTGATAAGGAGGGTGAAAACAAGAGACAGAATGAACATTTGCACATTTATTCACAGATGGAATAACCATGCATGTTGCCGGTGTAAACGTTGCTAAATTTGGGATTAATGACTATTCTTCTGAAAGTAAATTAGTGCTCTTTATATTGTTGCAAATTTGGTAATTTTTTTTCATTTAAATCTTAATATAATCATGGGGTTTTGACTTCATGAGACATTTTCAGAAGGCTAATCATGCTTAAGATATATTTTTAGCTAGGTTTCTTTTTCTCACATCATTCCTTTAATTTGTTTGGCATACTATTTTTCCTCTGTTTCAGTGTTTTGTATAATATTGCTTGCCCAGAAAGGGAATTACATGCTGATTATGCATGTAAATTAGCTTTTCAAATCGCCAACATTCTTTTGCTAGCATGTATTATAGATTTTTGGCACTACCTGTAATGGAATTTTTGTGTATGAGATCACACCACTTTTTTTTCTCATGCTTTTCATGATAATCTTAAGAAATAGAATTATACCAAAAAAAATCACATTTCCACAGAAAATTAAAATATGACACAATTTTCATGATCCCACACATCAACTTTTCCCCAACATGTTGCTTTAACAAAAGCAAAAGGTATGGCAATATACCAATATGCATTGTGTTTGGTGGTTGTTATGGATATAATATTTCCATGCTGCAAACAGTCAAAGTATCTGTTTTTACTCAACTCAAACTGTTTTTTCTGAGATTCAGTATCAGATTCAATCGGCAGTTATGTAGGAGTCTGTATCTTCCTCCTAAGAAGTGTACCTTACACATAGTCTATCTCAGAGAATACCAATTGATGGTCCTTCTTCTTTTATTCTTTTGTTTTTGGATTCAGTGTGTTGACAGCTCTGATATTCGGCATCCCTGCATTTTAAACCCACTCAGAGAAGCATTTGCAAAGAAAGAATGTGGAATACTATTAAGTGAAATATTTGAGTCATGCCATCCAGTGGTGAGTTACAACACAGAAAAAAAAAGTTAAGGGTGTAGCATTGAAAAGCAAGATGTATCCAGGTGGTCCAGAAGTTGGTCCTGGAACACTGCTGTTTGAAACCCAAAACATTAATAGTTGGTGTCCCACAGGGTTACATCTTGTTCTTCATGCTGTTCAACCATATGAAATCGCTGTAGGGAGGGCATCTGGAGATCGTAAGGGGAACATTTATTTATTTATTCATTCATTCATTCATTCATTCATTCATTCATTCATTCATTCGTTCGTTCGTTCGTTCGTTCATTAATTAATCAATTAATTAATTAATTAATTAAATTTATATACCGCCCTATCTCCCTTACGGGACTCAGGGCGGTGAACAGGTGATACTAAAAACCATAATAATAAATAAATAGTTTCTGTGCTGGAGCTCTGTTTCTCCTAACCATCCAATTCCAAAAAAGCAAATTATGTAACTTCTTTCAATAATAGGCTGGAGGATGGAGAGCAAGAGGAGATTAAATGCAGACAAAGTGGAGTTTTTGGTGATAATGAGAAATTCCACTTAATGATGAAAATTAAGCCTATTTCTGTTGGGGTTGCACTCCTCGGGAAGAGCAAATGGCATTCTTGAAGTGAATGTTTCTTGATTTTTCACTGTCCCTGGACTCACAAATAACTGTGGTATGGCAGCTACATTATTGAGCAGGCTGGATTTGCTGCCTTGGCTGCATCCTGTTTTGATTATTGCAATGCACTCTACATATACCTACTTTAAACAAATATCCAAGCGTTACAAATATAAAATGTGTTAGTTAAGTTTCTAATTGATGTACTATACAAGGATCATGTTTAACCCCTAAATTGAAAGAAGTGCACAGGTTGCTAGTTTTACTGGATGACAATTTAAGATGCTAGCCCACGGGTCAGCAACCTGTGACTCAGGAGCCGCATGCAGCTCTTTCAGCAGTCTCCTGCGGCTCTCTGTCCTCAGCCACCATGTGAGAGAGAGAAAGAGAGAGAGAGAGAGAGGAAAGAGAGAGGAAAGAGAAAGAAAGAGAGAGAGAGAGAGAAAGGAAAGAGAGAGAGGGAAGAGAGAGAGAGAGGAAAAAGAAAGGAAAGAGAGAAAGAGAGAGGGGGAGAGGAAAGAGTGAGAGAGAGGAAAGAAAGAGAGAGAGAGAGGAAAGAGGGAGAGGGAGGGGAAAGAGAAAAAGAGAGGAAAGAGAGAAAGCAAGAGGAAAGTGAGAGAGGAAAGAGAAAGAGGGAGAGAAAGAGGGAGAGGAAAGAAAGAGTAAGAGAGAAAGAGAAAAAGAGAGGGGGAGAGGAAAGAGAAAATGAAAGAGAGATAAAGAGATAAAGAGAAAGAGTGAGGGGGAGAGGAAAGAGGGAGAAAGAGGGAGAGAAAAGAGAGAGAGAGGTAAGAGAGGGAGAGGAAGAGGAAAGAGAGAAAGACAGAGAAAGACAGAGAGAAAGAAAGGAAAGAAAGAGAAAGGGAAAGAGAAAGAGAAAGAGAAAGAGAGAGAGAGAAAGAGAAAGTGAGATGAGAGGAAAGAGAGAGAGGGAGAGGAAGAGGAAAGAGAGAAAGAAAGAAAGAAAGAGAGAGAGATTAAGGAAGAGAGAGGAAAGAGAGAAAGAGAGAAAGAGAGGGAGAGAGGAAAGAGAGAGAAAGGGAGAGGAAAGAGAGTGAAAGAGGAAAGAGAGAGGGAGAGGAAAGAGAAAAAGAGAGGAAAGAGAGAGAGAAAGGAAAGAGAAGAAAGAGAGAGAGAGAGAAAAGAGGAAAAAGAGAGGAAAGAGAGAGAAAAAGAGAAGAAAAAGAGGGAGGGGAAAGAGAAAAAGAGAAAGGGAAAGAGAGAGGGGGAGAGGATATAGAGAAAGAAAGAGGGAGAGGAAAGAGTGAGAGAGAGGAACGAAAGAAAGAAAACGAGTAAGAGAGGAAAGAGAGAGAAAGAGAAAGAGGAAAGAGAGAGAGAAAGAGGGAGAGGAAAGAGAGAGAGGAAAGAGAGAAAGAGAACAGAAAGAGAAAGAGGGAGAGGAAAGAGAGAGAAGGAGAGGAAAAGGAAAGAGAAAGAGAGAGAGGAAAGAGAAATAGTGAGAGGAAAGAGTAAGAGAGAGAGAGGAAAGAGAGAAAGAGAGAGAGAAAAGAGAGAGAAAGGAATGTGAGAGAAAAAAGAGAGAGAGGAAAGAGGGAGGGAGAGAAGAAAGAGAGAGGAAAGAGAGATGAAAGAGAGAAAGAGTGAGGAAAGAGAGAGAGAGAGAAAAGAGAGAAAGGAAAGTGAGAGAAGAAAGAGAGAGAGAGGAATGTGAGAGAAAAAAGAGAGAGAGAGGAAAGAAAGAGAGAGAGGAAAGAGAGAGAGAGGAAAGAGAGAAAGAGAGGAGAGAGAGAAATAGAGAGGGAAGAGAGAGAGGAAAGAGAAAGAGAGGGAGAGAAATAGGGAGAGAAAGAGAGGGAGAGGAAAGAGAGAAAGAGAAATAGAAAGGGAGAGAGTAAAGAGAGTGAGAGAGAGGAAAGAGAAAGAGAGGGGGAGAGGAAAGTGAAAGAGAGAAAGAGAGGGAGAGAAAGGGAGAGAAAGAGACGGAGAGGAAAAAGAGAGAAAGTGGAAAGAGGGAGAGGGAGAGGGAGAGGAAGAGGAAAGAGAAAAAGAGAGAGGAAAGAGAGAGAAAGAGAGAGGAAAGAGAGAGAGGAAAGGGAAAGAGAGAAAGAAAGTGGAAAGAGAGAGAGAGAAAGAGAGAGGAAAGAGAGAGGAAAGAAAGAGAGGGAGAGGAAAGAGAGAAAGAGAAAGAGAGGGGGAGAGGAAAGAGGGAGAGGAAAGAGAGTGAGAGAGGAAAGAGATTGGGAGAGGAAGAGGAAAGAGAAAAAGAGAGAGGAAAGAGAAAGAAAGAAAGAGAAAAAGAGAGGAAAGAGAGTGAGAGGAAAGAGGGAGAGGGAGAGAGAGGAAAGAGGGAGAGAGGAAGATAACACTTTACCTTTATTTTAAATACACACACATATATATACATATGCATATGCATATGCATATGCATATGCATATACCTATACCTATACCTATACCTATACCTATACCTATACCTATACATAATAAAGCTAAAAAAGGATATATGCTGTGTTATATTTATTTTAGATATCAAAAGGATTTTGCGGCTCCCAGTGTTTTGTTTTCATTGGGAAACGTGTCCAAGTGGCTCTTTGAGTGTTTTGGGTTGCCTACCCCTGTGCTAGCCTTAGTCTTTAAGGAGAGATAGTTTTGTGTAGTAGTTAAAATATCAGACTAGAAACCGGGAGACTGTGAGTTCTAGTCCTACCTTAGGAACAAAGCCAGTTGGGTCTGTCATACCTTCTGGCTCTGGAAAACAGGCAAAGGCAAATTACTTGTCCAGGCAGTCTCTGAGAATTGGACACAATTGAATGGAAGATAAAAAAATGATATTTAAAGTGCTAAATGTCTTAGGACTTGATCTTCCAAGAGATTGCCTTTTTCCATGTCTGTCCAGCTGTTAATTCCTGAGGGACATGTCTTTTTTGAACTGTCAAAAACTTGCCTTTCTTGCATGCGGAAGTATAATGACATTATTCAAGTTTTATTCGTTTCATTTATTTAATGCATTTCTATCTCTCTTGCTTCCAGTCAAACCAATCTATAAAAAGAAAAAAAAATGTGAATGATTGACCTACCATTTCTAACTTCTAGCAAATGTATCAATACAGGCCTGAGCAGAGTTCCAGATTTGAAAAGCAAATCTGATGTAAATATGAGAAATACTTGAAATGAAGCATGCCTTTTCCCTTGGATTGCCATCAGCTGCAAAAACAGCCATGCAAGCCCAGGAAAAGACACAATTATTTTAAAGTGTTCTGCCAAGATGCAGGAGCCTGCCCACAAATACAACATGTCATATTTTTCTTTTGAATCCATGTTTTTGTATAATCCTCTATAATAGGAGGTCAGTTATCTTTATACGGGCATATGTTCTTGTCAATACAGAAGTTATTTTTTTCTCAGTAATAATTTATCTCATTTCACTAGTTAAATAATATAAATGTCAGAAAATTTATGTATGCATAGGACGTAAACTATAAATTTAAATGTTCATTTAATTAAATTTCACCAAAGAAAATCTGCTTTCGGATACCAGGAAATTCTCAAAAAGGGGGAGAGGAGTAGATAAATGAGAAGGTTTTAGTAGTAAATGGTTACTACTAAAACCTTCTCATTTATCTATTCCTCTCCCCCTTTTTGAGAGTTTACTGGTAGCCAAAAGCAGATTTTCTTTGGTGAAAGTGGCTGCAAAGAGAAGGAGAAACTGGCTAAGGGCATCTTCTTCCCTTAGTTGGAGCATCTGTGGATTGGAATTCAGAGAATGTTCCCACCAGCAGGAGAAAATTTAGGATTGGACTGTAATGTCAAATACAGATAAGTAATAAATATTATGTGACATGTTTCATAGACATGTCCCTAAAATTTACTTCAGATGCTTGCTCTTTATGTATAAGTCAGTATTTAAGTAGGGGATGATTTATTATAGTAATGTTTACATTTTTCAGGTTGATGTCACTTGGTTTTATTCAAACTGTTTGATTGACACATGTGGTTGTAACCAGGGAGGGGATTGTGAATGTTTCTGTACAAGTGTTTCAGCCTATGCTCATCAGTGTTGTCAACAAGGAGTTACAGTAGACTGGAGATCTCCTAGACTATGTCGTAAGTATGACAATCAGAATACATTTACAAACCTTGCAAAGCCATACTATCAGTTTGATTTTGCTTTTTCATCCATGCATATTCAGCTGGCTTTTAATTGTATAATTTTCCTTTCTTGCATTCAATATTGGCTAAAACTCCTGCAGTTTTATGAATCAGGCATATTAAATATAATACAAAAGGATCAGTCATTGTAGTTCATCCATCCATCCATTCATCCATCCATCCATCCCAAGCTACTGATAAGTGCTGTCCTATGTCTCAGTGACTTTTATCTTTCAGTTAATTATGCTATCAGTGATATCCTATCCCAGTGGTGGCAAACCTAAGGCACGGGTGCCAGAGGCGGCACTCAGAGCCCTCTCTGTGGGCACGGCGCCATCGCCCCAGTCCTAGGCCTTCAGCTGGGTTTTATAAAACCTTTTTGCTTTAGGCCTCCGCCGCCATGTGCAAAAAAAAGAGGTTCAATCAAATCAGTCAATTTCAACTTCTCGTGGGAAAAAAATCTTGCAAAGTTGGAATTGATTGATTGAACTTTTTAGTCCCACCCAGTCTGCCGTTACCACTGCAGCCACGCCCACCCAATTGGCTACACCCACCCAATTGGCCACACCCACCCGGCACCCGACGATGCATAAGTGGGTTTTGGGTTGCAGTTTGGGCACTCGGTCTCTAAAAGGTTTGCCATCACTGTCCTATCCTATTATTAGAACTATTAACAGGCAGCCAAGTTTCTTATATACCGTAGAAGCTTCATTATCACACCTGCTGTAGGCTTATATATAAATACAAATTCAAAATTGCAACCATAGACTGCAGACAATTAGCCCATTTCTGATTTATATCTGGAATTCTGTTTTCAGTATCAAATATAAGTGAGATGAGGAAAGTAGGGAAATACTGTATGTGTAAAGATTTTTTTATGTCGGTTAGGTTAAACTGTAGACTTAGCAATAATTTGAATAATATCTTGCAAGCAAACTTTAGTCTGAGAGCACAGCTCTTTTTTCTCATTCTTACAACTTGTACTTGACTGATGGGTTAAAATGATATCCTGCACTTAAGTATTTGGAGAATGTCTGTGGTTGCTATTTTAAATTTGGATTATTATTCTGATACAAATGTGATTTGTGTTCATAGACAACTGTGATATTGTTCATTATAGGAAGGACAACTAAAATTATTATTATACCACTAGAGGTCATAAAAGGATAAGTATTTTCCTATTACAGTCAGAGAAAAAAGTTTAATTCATTTCTGGCAGCTTTAATTTGTCTTCTCAATGGACATGAAAGCAAAATGACTTGTGTATGCATACATACATTCTAATTGTTTGCTTTTGTTTTTTATAGCATATGATTGTGAATATATCAATAAAGGTAAGCAATGATGTGAGAACTAAGTATTTTTCCTTATGCCCCCTTCCATGTTAGTAATACTTTGGGTAATGCATTGGACTATGTTATTATTTAAATATATTTGTGTAACTGTGTCATTATAGTGTTGAAATACAATAAATAATCTAACAATTTGTCAGGCAGGTAGATCCACAGAATTATTCTTTGCATCTCAGACCTAGTTACATTCCTATAGTCTTGATCAGTTAGCGTTTATTTTGAGAAGTGTAGAAACTCAGGTAGAAAATCAAGGAGAATATGAAAAGAAAAAGTTGAAGACAGTAAGCATACTGTATCTCAGTAGAAATAATCTATAGCAATTTTTCTTTTCCTTAGCAATTTTATGCTCTAAATATTTTATGTTTAGCTTAACTGTTGATGTTTAAACGTTGCTCATTCTTTTGTTTTCCATTAGGAAAAAAGGTTTTTTTTTATTTAGCCCAATGCTTTAGTACTTATATATAATGTTTCAAGTATTTTCTGATTTGATTATTTGGGTAATATGCTATATTAATTTTTTTTAAGTATCACTGTATATTGCAGCTGTTTAATTCATCATGGATCTTTGGTTTTGCCATGTAGTAATAGCACATAGTGCCTTGGAATCTACCAATTTACTTCCTAAGCAGTTACAAACATTTCATAATATCACAGAAGCTCAGTCAATATTTAGAAGGTCCTAATTTCAAAATACGAGTCCAGATATTTGCCAGATTGAACCCTCTGGGCTTTTGTGATAGTTGAGGGTGCCCCACATGTGTTTAAAATACTTTTTCCATATTGCTGTTACATTCTTAAAAATAATCTGCATGCCCAGCCTGTGTGCCATAAGATGTACAATGGGGAAGTATGAAAATAGGAAAGCAATTAGTGTCATAGCATTTTCATAATTAGAGCCAAATAATCTCTTTACCACATTCTAATTAACAATAGCTCTCACAAAATGCTACTTGGGGTACATGTCCTCTCAGACCATTCCTTTGGGGTCTTGATATGAGGAAACAAGTAAATCCAGCAGGTGAGGAACACAGACAGGTAGTCCTCGACTTATGACCACAATTGAACCCCAGATTTATGTTGTTAAGTGAGACATTTGTTAACTGAATTTTACCCCATTTTATTACTTTTCCTGCCACAGTTGTTGACTGAATCACTGCAATTATTAAGTTAGTAACTATCTGGCTTCCCCATTGACTTTGCTTGTCAGAAGGGCACAAAAGATGATCACATGACCCCGGAATACTGCAACCATCATAAATATGAACCAGTTGCCTAGCAACTGAATTTTGATCATGTAACCACGAGGCTGCTGCAATGGCTATAAATGAAAAACGGTCATAAGTCACTTTTTTCAGCGCCATTGTAATTTTGAATGGTCACTAAACAAACTGTTGTAAGTCAAGAACTACCTGTACAGATTTACTGCTTACTACTTCCAATATTTGGAATATGTATTTAGTGTAGATAGATAGTTCTTTTTTTGGCTGATTTTGGTTAAGTAGGCTGACTTTCTTTTTCTTCATTCCTTCTTTACTGAATTTTACCCTTTTCACCCACTTTAATAAATGTGTAATGTAATTATCTTTCAATTTGACAGATGAAAATAAGGTTCAGGCAGGTTATTTATGAAATCAAGTTTGCAAGAGGTCTGTAGTTTTAAATCAGTTTTTGTCAAAGAACTGTAATGCTTATTAATGGGAATGTTTGCTAATGATTGTGTTTTCTTTTTGCTGCTGTAGGACTGACTAGTAAATTCATGATACAGACATTGAGACAAACTCATCAGAAAATGTAATTTTTTTCTTTCCTGACAGTTCTGGGAAAAGGTCCCTACAAATTGGTTAGCTATTTGGATGGAAAAACTATAATTGCAGCAAAACTGCAGGATGGTTCTGTTTTCCCAGCAAGAGAAGATGACTTAGCTTCGGGGGATGCTTTAACCTTCATGCTAACATCACCACTGTATAAGCCCAAAGCACATGGTAAATCTAGTAACTCTATAAAATAATTGCTTTAGATCTATGGTACTCAACCTCAGCAACTTTAAGATCCATGGATTTTAATTCCCCAAATTTTCCAACTAGCATGCTGGTTGGGGAATTCTGGGAATTTAAGTCCATACATCTTAAAGCTGTGGTGGTTGAAAAACACCACCAATACTTATATCAGAAGCAGTTTTTTTTAAAAAAAATATTCAAGATACTGGTTCACAAATAAGAGGAGCACAATATAATGGTCATATTGTATTAATAAACATTCAGAGACGTCTGACTGGTTAATATTACTGGTAGAAATTATGTAGATGGCTTTTGTTCAGAGCCAGCAAAACAATTTTTATATTCTCACAGCCAAATTAACAAAAGTGATTTGCCCCACTTCAGAAGTTAAGAAAGTTTTATAGCTGAAGCACTAAATTTCCCTAATCAGCTTCAGTGTTTTTTTTATATGACCATCTACCAAGGTCTCCATTTAGAGAGCAGATTTTTACAAGGCAATTGCTGATTTATAAATAACATGACACTTAGTTTTCAGATTGACAACTTTGTAAACACAGTAGGCTTAAAATTCCTAATACAGGGCAGGTAGAGAAACCTAAGAGGAAATTTGGAAATTAACACCAGCTGGCTAGCTATGACACTAATGAGATACAAACAGGTCAGCTGAAGATATATTATAATGGTTGGCAGCAAATTGAGATTATGGTTAAGTGAGAAGCTACAACTGTACAAAAATACCTTTTTAAAGATAATTGCCATTAATTGTGTTCTTCACTAAAATATGGATTTTGCCAACTCCTTGGGATTACTTAGTTGGATAGATGTCTTGGCTGTGTACATGTATTTTCACATTTCTAAAATGTACATTTTATCCATTTTTGCCTCTCTGCCTTTTGAAATAAAAGTAAATGCAAGCATTAGAATCAGTGATACTTACATTCTAAAGTTTAACATGATTCTTGTCATAGAAGAAATGCCCATTTATCTATAAAGCGGCTGGTTAGCTGCAAAACTAATGAAATACAAACAGGTCAACTGAGGATATAATATAGTGGATTGGCAGCAAATTGAGATTATGGTTAGTTGAGAAGGAAATAGAAAGGAAGCATATTGCTGAAAAATATCTGGGAAAAAAGGATATTACTAGAATAATGATAAAAGGTAGTCTATTTCACATCACCAGTTAAAATGAACATTAAATGAATATTTTTATGAGTAACATATATATATGGAAAGACTAGAGTGTTGCTATCAGCTGACCTAGTGACAGTGAATGAGTCTAAGGCAGGGGTCTTCAAACTTGGCCCTTTTGTGACTTGTGGACTTCAACTCCCAGAATTCCTTAGCCAGCATCTAAGGTTTAAGGTCTTGACATAAACCTTTTCAGCTACATTGTTTGAATTCAGTGTTTATGAAGTTAATAATAGTTCCAAGATTTAGTTGTCAGTTATTGAATTTTTTTTCTTGAAAATCCACTTTTGGAAAGTAATCTGTTCCTTTTCAATTTTAACATTCTATCTCAACATTCTCTTCATAATTTTGATTTGGAAAATACAAAGCCCTTACATTCACCAATCTTTATTATGATTTAGCAAGCAATGGCTGCCTATACTACAATAAGCAAATTTTCAGCTTCAGTAGTTAAAGAAAATATTAGCTGCTTCTCTCTTTCTTCATACACTAAATACATTTTATGTTGGAAAATTAAATACTATTCTAGGATAATGAATTATAACATCCCTTAAGGTCTGTTTAATGGATGAGGACCATTGATTTTATAGTAATCTTATGATAACGTTAAGCAGAATTATGCAGTGTACTGTGAAATAATATTTGGGACAAAAGATGTCCAGTTGGATCAGAATTCTATTACCCTTTTAATAAGCATTACTTTAAATGCTTTTTAATTACTTTCCATCAACTGGAAATCAGTATAATCAGTTTTAAAAAGCATTTTTTACATTTTAGTTATTTGAATAATGCATTGGTTGAGAGAGGGAGATGAATGGAAAGTTTATCATCTTAGAAAGTGTGTAATTTTGTTAAATGTAATTTTCTTTGTTTCAAATTTCTTCATTCTGTATTTTCAGAAATTCCAGAATTGAAAGAGTGGCAATATTATAAGTACACAGTTTTGGATTAAGTTGTGAGCTTGACAGAATCTGGCTATACTTTAACAAAATAACAATCATAATAGCTTAAATAGTTTATTATTGCAGAAACAGATTAGAACAATTTCATAATAAAACAGGTACATCAAAATCAAAACATAATATAGCTAATAATATATCGAAATAACAGTTATTTACAACTGTATCAATAACAACTGTATTAATAACATTATTTAGGTAAGACATTACTGGCCTTTTCCCAATTGAAAAAGTAGTTTGCGTTCCATCCCAGACAGTATTCAGAATATGGTTACATGACCTGAAATCACCTCCTGATCAACTAATAGGACATCTTTAGTCCTGCCAAAATATCATGTTGCATTGGGAAATATACCCCAAATACCTCTATGAAAGACTCAGTGCAATTATATAGTACATCGTTCTCAGTTTTGATCTCACCCTTCCATAGAGACAGAAGCAGCATTCTTTAGAATTGCTGCAAAAACTGCCCTCTAGATATTAGATTGGATGACAATCAACTTGCCAATGTAAAAGTTATTCTAGTATTCTGGGATGCAATCTTAAAGAAACAAATAATGGGATTGAGATCAAGCAAGGTGGCGCCTAACTGAAATTATTCTGGAGGTCAGAATATCTGGCACATTGTTTAAAGAATAATCTGGCCTATTCAAAACCTATTGAGATCACTACATTAATTGAAAATCCCACAATATCTTAGGGTGCAACTAAATAATTTCCACCAGGAATAGTGGAGGTTTTTTTACGGTTGAAAATTAATTTAAGTCAATAGCTAATACATGCTGTTTGCATTTGAGTTTTAACTGATGTCATACTAGTCTCAGCTGAAAGGCTGTTTGGATGCATCATGGACTCAGAAATAAGCCCCTTAGAAATCATGATTAAATAGCCTCAAATGGCCACTCTGACCTTAGAGACATATATTTGAAAATATGTCACAGGATAGCTATGATATTCCTTTGGCCTCAAATATTTTTTGTTCACCTGGTATATAATTACCACCTTTTCTATAGAACAACATTAAGCTGAGAACTACATTCCTTGCTACCTTGTCTTTTAATGACAGTATTGGACCCTTTAAGTGGAAAACATTTCTGAGATATTTAAAGATCTTAACCTGTTTAATAATATTTCCATTAATTTGCTATTTATGTTATTATCTAGGGGGAATCTTTGAAAAGATTATATTTTTTTTGTAATTGATAGGTAACATCCAAGTCTCTGTAATTAATAATTACAGTTGATTTATGCTCTGCTCAGTCCTATAGGTGAAATTGAGGTAATGGCTGTATCATCTGCACATAAAAATAAAGCATCAGGTCTATCAATCAAGCTTAGCAGGGATGTTTCAGTTTTGTCACTTTTGCCACCACATCTAAAATTAAATAGCAAAGGGGCTAAATTACACCACAGCAGAATGCTGACCTTGGTTGTTCACCCAAATTTGGATGTAGATATCACCATGCAACATTTTAATAAGTGTCAGCCGCCGCCTATTAATGGAATTATAATTGACATATAACCTAGATATTAGAAGCTAATCACTAAAAACTACCCTTGGCCATTTCATCATATTTCTTCATTGTTTTTTTGCTTTTCAGACCCACACCTGGTTTCACTGGAAGCAGCTGACAGACCAAATTATTTTCTTTATTTAGCTTCTAATAATACCCTTGTTCTTTCCAAGTGGGAAAGAAATGAACATTTTCAGAACAGATCAACATTTGCCATCCACAAAAACACATGGTTCTCAGGATATAGTTCTTTTGAATCATTTGCCATACCAGGATTATTCATCTACATTTCAGCTTCCTCTGTGACTGTTGTTAAATTTCATCATTCTGAGGCATTCAGACTCTCTACACTTTTTAAACTTGTAGGTAAGTAATTGAATATTGAACACACTGGTTGTATTTTCATATGGTTTTGCTATACTTTATATGAAACCCCTGTATTAAGAAAGTGAAAGCTATAAAAACTTTCATGGAGAGGAGGCCAGTATCATTTAGGTACTGAACTGCTTATTCATTAAAAGATTGATAACTGATGGCTATCCAGAGGTTACTGAAGTTTTAACAACTGTAGTCAACTTGATTAGTAGTGATAAATGCTGCCACTTTTATTCAGCATATATGGAGGGCCAAAAGTCCGTTGCTTTTCTCTTAGAATCACAGATTCACTTGCATATAATCTATATGCAAGAAATGTCTTTATGTGTGGATAAAGAAATTTCTGAAAACCTTTTTTTTTCATCAACACATTTCAACCTGGAATCTGGGGAGAGGGGTGTCAGTCATTATAAAATTAACATCTAACATTTCTTAATTGATTTACTACACGATACTCAGTTGTGATATAAATAAATAGCAAGACAATAGAATAATACAATGTTTCATTTAATGTGAATTTTTCTACAGGGCAAAATTAAATAGAACTATAAGGAGAGGAATGAAGGTGAATATACTGTACATGTCCCAGGATAACGTTGCAGGATCCAACAGTTACCAGAACCAGAGGTTTAGTCTTCTGAGCTTTTGGACTTATGCTGGAGCCCATCCTCAGGGAACTTTTCTCTAGCAGAGTGTGTGCTTTGGGCTACTCTGCATGTGGTATTTATATGATGCCTGTTGTGTGTGGCTTTTTAGTTGTTGATTGGGGTGATGGCTGGCTATTAAGTTGTTGGCCGTGATTTCCTTGTGCTGCCTAGCCCTTGCCTGCTAAATACTTAAGCTGGTGGTAAATCAGCACTCCTGTTGACTGATGAGGGGTGTGTTTTCCAGGCTGTTTTTGTGCCTGCTCATCCAACAATCTTAATAGCTGCAGAATTTAATGCATGTTCATTGCAGTGTGAGGCTACCAATGAGTTCGGGTCTCCTCGTCTGACCACTCGCTTGTATTCTGGCAATCTGGTGGCTAGCTTCCTCCCTGTCTGTCCTACATAGTCACATGAGCAATCCTTGTAGGGGATCTGCTAGATTATATTGGAAGTATCTCCCACCTCCAAGTGACCTTTATAATGCGTAATTTGTCCTTGTATGATAGCCTCTGGGCAGTGTGTGGCGCCTACTTGCAGATCGTGGAAGCTGTGTTCTACTGCTTCTGAAATGTTTTTGATGCATGGCAAGGAGTGCCCTGTAGTTGGTCTTGTGCTTTGTTTCTTCCTTTCTCTCCCCATCATGTTGTGTAGACATCTTGTAACAAATGATTGTAGGTACCCATTCTGCCTACAGGGAGAGATTTTTGTGTCTGTGCAGTATGTTTTGCTGCAGCAAAATATTTAAGTCACTGAATGTGGTGGAATGTAGTTTGGAGTCATAGGAGGGAGAGGCTCTTTCTCAGAGGGCAAAGACAGTGGAGCTTGGAATAACCTGGTAGGCAGGGTGAAGGGGAACGTCCCTCCCTAGCAATTCACAGAGTATATCTAATAGTTATACAGAGAGTTGTTTTAATCTGGCAAGATTCTGTTATAGGCAAACAATAAAGAACTGCTCAGAGTAATTCCATATCTTGCTCATGGTACTTTGGACCTGACATTGCACTTCATGCAAGATGGTATGGCTCTTAACATGCAAACCCTCTACTGATCAAGTGTTAATTTTCTAAAAAGTATTTTTAGGATAAATGTGTCAGCTACATATTTAATGTAAATGCAAATGAAGAGAACACTTTCCACTTTTCAAAAAAAAAAAATAGTATAATTCCTGTTCCCCAGCATCCTCGTTCAGTTATTTTTTGAAGAGATTAAAAACTCTCCAGAGAGTCCTGGGGAAGCTGTAGGAGATGCAAGTGAGAGGAAACAAAAGGGAAGAGAAATCGTGCTGGTAAGTTAAATTTACAATGTTTCTCAACCTTGATAACTTTAAAATATGTGGACTTTAATTCCCAGAATTCACTATCTTTTAAAATTGCCAATGTTGAGAAATACTGAGAATTGAAGTAGTACTTTCTATTTGCTGATAGAAAATCAATCTCAGTCATTGCAGTTTATCAGTTCCCAAACCACTTTAGAAATTTGACTGAATTAATTCAAGGTAATTTGCCACTTTCAAGACCTCCAAGCATTCATTCTGAATGCCTCCCCATCTGCAAAAATTAGAGACAGATTAGTAATCATTCAGATAAGAGGAGGCAATGAACATTTTAAAAAATGTTTAAGACAAGTTATCTACCCTTTAGCCAAGCATACTTTGAAAGAAGACATATACATATTAAATGCTACAGAGTCTCATGAATTTCAGAGTTCTTCAACTGATCAAAATGATTTCTATCAAAATTCAATAGAGGCGATATACCCATAATATTTCTAAAGCTATTGAAGTTATATCTTGTTTCCCCGAAAGTAAGACCTATTCTGAAAATAAGCCCTAGTTTGATTTTTGGGGGTGGGTCTAATATAAGCCCTACCCCCAAAATAAGCCCTAGTTTTGGGGCGAGGCACATGCCTAACAATCAAGCTAGGATGGGGTGGGGGGTGGAGCTGCCCACATGCTCTGCACCCATTTACCATTGCAGTCAGGCCTCCCATGAATTGACACGTGCCTCTCTTCGCTGGCCCACTTCTTCTGTGGCGCCCCTGGCCCTGCATTTCGCCATTGGAGGCCTTTCCGGAAGGCCTCTGCAGCCAAGAACTGAACTACAGATTGAATCCATAGTTCGGTTCTCAGCTGCAGAGGCCTTTTGAAAAAGCCTCTGACAGCAAAATGCAGACTGGAGCTCCATTCTCAGCTGCAGAGGCATTTCCTTCAGCCGCAGAAGAAATGGGCCGGCTGGGTGAGGCTCAAGGTGAGTGGAAAAGACACTCCCCAAAAATAAGACCTGGTGCCTCTTTTGGAGGCAAAAAAAAAAAAAAAAAGACCGGGTATTATTTTTGGGGAAACACGGTATGTTCCCAAATTCCCAGAGAACATGCTCTTAATACTTTCTTCAAAAGCTTCCAATATGTGCTTTTTAATCAAACATAAATAAGGTGAGTTGTATGGTCACAGATGGAGTGACTTTTATAATAGAATGGATGAACTATATGCTTTCCTTGTTATCAAATCTATTGAATTAAAAGGTTAGTAGTAGCGCTATTGAGACCCTTACTGGCAAACCATTTCTGAAAAACTTTGGCAAGAAAACTGCCTGCCCTGGCAGATTGAGAAGTGGACATAACTGAATGGACCAAAAAAATAAATAAATAAAGATAAGAATTTTTATCAGTTTGGGACATTATTTGGACCAAGCACAAATGTCATGCTTCTTTTATCTTTAAGAGGGAAAGGAGGAATTGCAAACTTTAATGGTCCCCTTCTCTAGTGTTCATATGTAGAAAATGGTGTCTGTTTTTTTAAAGGGAGAAGCTTTTGCTTTCTAGTTGTGCCAAAGAATCCTGTCCATGCCAGTGGAAAACTAAAACAATTTACCTCAGCAAGTAAGGTCGTATCAAATAATCGCGAGGCATTTCATTAATCTCCACATCTGTGGATTTGGGTTTCAGAGTTTTATGAGCAAAGAAACCTTGGGCTTGAATCTTTCTCCAGTGTTCTTTCGGAAGGCTGGGCGAACTGATGCAGGCTAATTACATGATCTAAAAATATAGCTGCATTTGTTAATGGAAATGTTACACCAGTTGTAGAGTGCAGAGGGAAAGGCAGATTAAATTTCCTGCTGATTATCATAAATTGCATATTAGATCAGAATCTTTCCAAGTGAGAACTGCTGTTCCGGAACATAAATATTGTGAGTAGGATAATAGATTGTTCAAACTTCCTTCTCAAGTAAAGATCTCCACAAATTTGTTCATGTGTTCTGAAACTTATCAAAAAACTATCAAAGAACCTTTGATAGAGATCAACATTTTCTGAAAGTCATGGAAAGATTCGGTTTTCATAAAAAATAAAACTGATCAATAAAAATAACCATGATGAATGTGTATATTTTCATACATATATGTGTATCACAATGTATCTTGTACATGTAGTTCACATGTAGTCATGATATATTTATCAGAATATTTTCAGTATAACTGATAGCAGTAATAAGATAATGAGTTTGCTATAACTATTTAAATTACTATCTCCAGTTTGTAACATATATAACTGAATTTGTTAATATAGGTTACATTTCTCTCCCCATCTATTTATTTTGTGCATAAGCAATAAAAAAAATAAAAATTCACTGAGATAAGCTTCTGTATCAGGTTTCCTCATATGTTCTGGATGAAAATTTATCATCTTCAACTGTTGTATTAAGAATATTCTGTTGAAATTGTTTGGGCTGTTTATTGCAACTTGATAACTATTCTAAATGAAAAAAACAAACAAAAAGCACCTGGATGAGAGTTTTGGAGAAGATCCTTTTTTGCATTTATTGAACTGCTGACTTAGAGTCTGTACTCCAATTTTGTTGCTTTATTATTTTGATAGTGATGTAGATATAGCACATCAGAAGAAATTAATTCTTTATATTTGTGTTATTAAAGTGTGGGAATCACTTTTGCAAGAGGTAGTGATGGAACATATTCAAAGAGGCATTACATAGATTAATGGGCTATAATACTGTCAATACTGGATAGTTATTATGACTACATACTGTCTGCAATATAGTTATGACCAAATAATGTTTCCTATGGGGCATGAGCAAAAAAGTGCTATTGCATTCCTATATGTAAATACTTTCTCACAGAAAGCTGGTTAGCTATATATAGTGTATGCAGAATGGTTGGGTCTGATCCATTCTCGTTCTTAACCCTTTTCATCTTCTTGATTTACGCATGTTGAGAAATAGGATTCTTTCACAGGTACTTGAAATTCAGTTGGGATTGCTATAAACTATAAATAGATATTGTTGCTGCATTTGTAATACGAAAACATTCCTTCCAACTGAGACAAACATAAAGGAACTCCATATTGGCTCACCCAGAGATGTAACTCCTGAATAAAATGCAATATAAGGACATACATGGAAGTTTAGGGTTAGTTGAACCTGTAATAGAAAAACTGTGTGAATTGCCACCTACATTTTTTTCCACTTTGGGGGTGGAGGTGGCACTTGGGGACTACAAATAGGTTCCTGCCATATACAGTATTTCCAACATTTGTCTTTTCTCAAAACTGAATGCTTCAGACATTCTTACAGATAATTTTTTATTTGTAGATAGCAAATTTAAATTTTTATCCCGCTCAACCTGTGAATGGCGCTATGATGCTTGTTCAAGTCCTTGTTTCAAGACATGCAGAGATCCTTTGGCAAAACATTGTCAGACTGTTCCAAAGTAAGTATTTTTATAATTTAAATAATAGCACTCTTTCTAAAAGGGAAATGATACACTGTCTATCAGTTTAGGAGCAAAATAAAGGCTCTGCGAAAAATGTAACAGTTTCTATATACTTGAGGACTATGTTATTGTTAAGGCTGTGTAGCTTTAAAACTTTCATAGATACTGTAATATCCTCCTCTGTCTTTAGTATGATCTTAGACCAGACTACAGGTAGTCCTTGACTTATGACCACAGTTGAGCCCAAAATTTCTGTTGCTATGTGAAACATTTGTTAAGTGAATTTTGCCCCATTTGATGACTTTTCATGCCACAGTTGTTAAGTGAATCACTGCAGTTGTTAACATAATAACACTGTTGTTAAGTGAATCTGGCTTCCCCACTGAATTTGCTTGTCAGTAGGTTGCAAAAACTGATCACATGATCTCAGGACACTGCAACCGTCATAAATGTGAGTCAGTTGCCAAGCATCTGATTTTGATCATGTGACCTTAGAGATGCTACCTTGGTTGTAAGTGTGGAAAACGGTCATAAGTCACTTTTTTCAGTGACGTGGTAACCTTGATTAAGATAAGCATAATATACTGGTAATACAATGAACTGTTGTAAGTTGAGGACTACCTGTACAATCAAAAGAAAGGCAGAACCTCTGTGGAATGGGAACTTTGCAGAAGCTGTTGTTTAAGTGTGCCAAGCGCAGAGCACTGAAATGAGCTTTAGAGAATTTGGCATGGAGATGTATACACAGGGAACCTGCTGGAGTAGATTTTTGTAATTTTCTAAGAGTCAATAAATCATTCTAAAAGTCTTAAGTTCTGCCTCATCCCTTTGGTAACCTCTTTAGCTTTTTTTCTGATCCTAGGGAGAATTATGCTCTGGTAAGAGCCTGTATGAATAATTTGCTTGTGATGGTCTTCCTTCATGTGGATTTAAAATGACCTGCTAAAAATTTGCTTCAGTTCTAAGTAACCTGCCATCTAATCTAGACACACATCTGGGGGGCTGAAATAAAGATCTGATTGCATTTTTTAAGGGGTACATACTATATTGAAAACAAGTTTTTATTATGTCCTATAGGGTAAATACTGTATACATTGGATTTTATACAAAATGTTTAGTAGCTGCTGGATTAAAATTCCATTCATGCTTTTTGACAAAATTTTACTGTTGATGTAGTACTTTATTGAGCCACAGAGGAAGTACAGTTAGCATGAGCAGTTGTCCTAAAGTTTGGAAAACAAGCCCCAGATATTTAGAATATGCAAGTGGTTCTATGTCAGAATTGAACCTAAATAGATAATAGCTTGGCTTTTTATGCTTATACAGTTGTATTTGTTTAGTTTATCCACCTTATTTCTATGGCCTAGAAATAAGGACCTAGCAACCCCAGAAGAAAAAACAGGAGTCATCTACAACATACAATATAGGAACTGCAGCAACAACTATGTAGGACAATCAGGCAGAAGACTGGCAGAAGGCATTCATAAACACCAACTAGCAGTCGGAAGACATGATGAAAATTCTTTAATTTCACAACATATAGACAGATTTAGTTTCAGTTGGGAAAACGTGACAATCCTAGACTAGGCCAAGTCCAAAAATGCCAGGGAATTTCTAGAAGCCTGGCACTCTGACAAATTAGCCATCAATAGACACATGGACATTAACAATATCTATAGATTATGCAACCACCCCAAAAGGGAACCAAAAGACCCAAGCACCTCTCCGCCAGCAATCAGTACCCAGATCAGGATAGATTAACTCCAAGGTTAACTTCAGACCAACAATCAGGTAAACAATACCCCAATCAAGAAACTGCCAAAGAGCCAACAGTAAACAGCCTGACCAAAGAATCTTTAAGACCACCCTCAACAACACTGACAGGCAAGCCACCAGAATATAAACTGACAGCAAATACTCCTTACTAACTGATGATGTTACCTAGTTTGGGTAATGAAACATCTGCAAAAAAACAAGCAAATTCAGAGAGTATCAGGGACCCCTCATTTCAACCCTGAGCTACAACCCTGAGTTCCTTTATTGGTACATTATTCAGTACTTGTTTCAATGACACATTTTGCTGTATGAAAAGTTAATTATTATTAATCTTGTTTTAGAGTGGAAGGATGTGTTCCTATGTGTCCTTTGAATATGGTGCTGGATGAACTCACTCAAAGATGTGTTTATTTTGAAGACTGTACGTATCAAGTAATACTGATTCAAAATTATAGTGTTTAAAAGCTGTTAATTCAGGCTTAAATTTAGGAAAGCAATCCAACTTAGTTATAAAGTTACGTCTTCCCAATATAACAAAATAACAGAGTTGGAAGGGACTTTGGAGGTCTTCTAATCCAACTCCTCGCTCAGTCAGGAAACCTTATACCATTTCACACAAGTGGTTGTCCAATCTCTTAAAAATTTCCAGTGTTGGAACAATATCTTGTGCAAAGGTTCAACATCTTGACAAAATGAAGATCCCTTGATTGTTGCAGTTTCCCTACTATATTAACTGAAGTGAACAGGTCTATGAATTCCATTGCAGCATCTGGAGGAATAGGTGTTTTCTTAAACAAATATACACTCTGTTCTTTTAAGAAAGTATACTCAAGTAGGTTAAGGTAATATCTTCAAGTTACTTTCATGTCCAAGGACCTTAAATCTAAGTCCTTATTCTGTGAGAAAGCTGATTCCCTGAGGTTTCTTCCCACATAAAGAATTTTAGAATAGATACATATGAAACAGCTACATTTGGATTTACAACTGCTAAGGAAAAAGAGGTTTTGATTATCAGACACTGAAAAGATATAAAATTATAAATGTGCCCAGTAATGGATTAATTAAATTATATTTTTGAAGTCAGAACATGTTTTGAAATGTTAAAATTTAATCTTTTAAAAAATTCTTTCTGAATAGACATATTAGAAATTAATAACAGTATATTAAAACTGTGCTATTCCACACACTTTTAATTCTGCCGAATTTAATTCTGTGTAGTATTGCACTAAATATGTCTCATGTACAAGTCATATGTTTTTATCTTGTTTTAGGCATTGAACCAACAACTGAAGTTCAAATTCTACCATCTACTTTAAAGACACATACAGTGTTTGGGGCTCTTCAATCTTCCGCAGCAGTTCTGAGTAAAGAAATAGCTTTTTCTGTGACCCCAGCATCAAAACTTAGAGAAACAACACCTGCATCCAAGCAGCAATTCAGTTCAACCATTGAAAAAGCTAAACTTTCAACATTTTCATTGCCAAATATTACTTTAGCTACATTAGCTCTTTCAGTTCAATCAACTTTTGATACAAGTGCATTGCCAGGATTTTCACACCTGCTAACTGAATTTAGCCCCGTATCTGTAGTTCCTCCTTCAGCAACTGATGTAGTTATTGACACTTTGCAGACAAGCAGTATGACAAGCTTTTCAATCCCCTCAACATCTACAATTACTGAAGCAGAAAGTAAATTAACAGCTACTCCAACTTCCATTGTGACTCCATCAATTATTACAGAAGACAAATCATTAGACGCGTCTAGATTAGTTTCACAAATAAAAGTAATAACTGCTCAGAGTTCCCCTACAGAGGACATAGAAAGAAAGCTTCAGAACATTACAGAAAGCCAAACTTTATCTATAATAGCAACAAAACCAGAGCATACAAGTCAATTTTTTACCAAATCAACATTGACATCTTCGGAAATATCTTCCCCTTTGCCAACATCAAGGCAAACAACAAGCAGCACTAAGTCAAGAGTAATCCACTCAACTTCAACAATCACCAATGTTACTGAAACTTCATTTGCTCCTTTATTTACTACTTTAGTAGCTGAAAAACCAGTTCTAAAGCCAGGTTCTTCAGAAACATCAAAGACAACTGTTGTTTTAATTAAAGAACAGCTTAAAAGTACTATTATTCCAATAACTCCAGTACCAACACAGCTTCCCCACACGTTCCTGACATATCCAAGTGTTTTAGTTTCTACTACTAAGAAGGAAGTGCCACAAACATCAAATGTTACATATCAAACAAGTTCATATTTTTCTTTGTATACACCTATATTCTCAAAACCTCAAATTTTTACTTCTAAACTTCCCAGAAAAACTGATTTATCTTCTACTACAATAGTTTCCAAAAAATATTTACAAACAGAGCAGCCACTGTTTATAGTGCCAAGCATTACAGAGCCTGCAACTGCTTCATCTGATAGAGTTACATCTTTGTCTACAATAGTAACCTCTAAAACCTCAACTTCATCTGAATCATCAATTCCAATCTCCCAGAAAATATCTACAGAACACAAAATACCTTTGCTCCTGAAAACTACAAAGACAAGTGTTCCAGATTCTGGTGGTGTAACAAAATCAAAAACAGAATCTGCACTTATAACAGAAGTCATAGCCACAGTTGTCCCAGGTCCATTGGTCACTAAAAAGGTAGAATCAGTTGGAACAACTGAATATCCATTTATTCAGCATGCTGTTACTGATATGGAAAAAGCAACAGAATATCTTAGTAAAAAAGAATTGGAAAAAACTACCAGGTTATACACAAGAAAACCATCTATTTCTCACCTTCCAATATCCCTTTCTACAATTATAACGTCAAAGATAGACACTGCCCTTGTTCCTTTATCACCTGAAATTCAGGTTCCTGTGGCTGCAGCTATTCACCCAGTTACTTCAAAGACCACCTACAGGACAGTACCACCAAGCACAATAGTTTTAAGTTCAACTCCAGAATTGACAGTAAAAGAATCTAGGGTTACTTTATCTCCATATACTAAACTTAGCAGCAGGTCACCAACTGAAGTAGCATCCATCAAAGAAATATCAACCTTGTTTTCTTCAGCTACTCTTTCTGTAACAACATTTCCTCCTATAATCTCTCTAGTGAACAAAACATCTTTGTTTACTTCAGCACAAAATATAACTATAGTACCAACCACTGCAAAACCATCAGTTGAGCCAACAAAGTCATCTGTAACTTCCAGGTTTGCTACCTCCTCTGTTTATACTTCTGCAACAGAAAGCATTTCTACCCAAGTAAGAGACAAATCTGTTCTTCCATATTTGATAACACAAACACCAGGGAAGCATGAGTCTTTGCTGGCTTCTAAAGCGTATTTAACCACAAAAGGAACTTCTATAGCATATCAGTTTCCAGTTGAACAAACTGGTATTTATTCCCAAAGTACTTTAAGTACAACAGAGTCAGTCAAAATAGCAGTGCCTTCTGTCTTCCAAAGCACTTCACATCCATTTGTTACCCCTTCAGTTGCTTCACATACTTCTTCATTTTCACCCAAAATCCCACTTGTAAGTGATAAAGAAACTACCCAGCAAATAATAGAGTCCTTTTCTACCGAAAAGTTAAGGACTCATTTACCCACCACAGAGCAAGCATTAAGTCCTTCTCAGTTATCTGCAGAATCCACCACTTTGTTTCATGTATCAAAATCAACATCACCTTCACTATTTATATTGGAAGCACCAGAAACTTCAGTTGTGAGCCAAACAGATTCACAAGAAAGGGTATTTTTAACACCTGTATCAACAGCTTTCACATTTGTGAAGACCGGTGCTACAGAGAAGACATTAACTTTGTCTAAGCAAATTCCACTTTCTGCTATTTCTTCTAGCTCAGCGTCCATAGGACTAAGCAGTCTCACAACTAAGAGTGTCACAAAAACATTAGAAAAAACAGCAGGAACAAAAGAATCTATCACATCTTTATTTTCAGTACTTTCTGATATTTCAGAAACAAAGAGCAGACCTTCCAAAATACTAGAAACTGATGGAGAAATATTGGCTACAAAGCTTACTCTATCACCTTCAATTAGCAAACATTCACCAACGTCCCCTGCTCCACTTAGTTCTACTAATGAAACTGTAGTACCCAAGTCCCCATCTGTGAAGGAGGCAACAATAGCACCAACAAGCTCTTTGCCAATACTAACAATTCATCCAAATGCTACAAGAGCTACAGCCGCTCCTATCTATTCATCAACCAAACCAGTATATGATTCTGGCACAATATACGCTGCAAATTTTACTACTGTTGAAACTATGTCGGGTGCTTCAGCATCAGCTTTCATATCACCTGGAGAGATAGCAACTCAGCCAACATGTATAGTGAGTAACATGTAATTGATCTTTATCCAGCCCTAGGAAGGGAGGGGTTGTGTGTGTTTTAACTCAGAGATCATGGATGTATGATGTATATTAAGATATAGCTTCTTACATGTATTATTAGCTATAAATGTAGCGGTCCAGAGCTGTTGAAAGCCAGGTAGCATCCAAGCTAAACAAACAAATAAATAAATAAATAAATGTGGCTTTTACATGTTTATCCTGATTCTGCACTTCTTTAAAATCTCATATATCACAGTCATTAAAACATAACTAGTGATGCAAACAAGTGTTTCTAAATTTTTAGTGACAGGTTTCTTTTGTCCATACCTAGATCATTTACATACCTAGTTCCATTCTAACATGATATGGAAGCATTTTCTTGAACCAGTTTTTTAATAATTCTGCTCACAGGTTAAATATTATTGATGAAGAAGCTTAAGAGCATATTCATGATCATTTGGGGAAAATATTTGTGTATGTATGTGCTATTAATTTTTTTTTATTTTAACAACTAGCTTGACTTTGTAATCTTGTCATTTTTATGATCTGCATACTATTAATGTTGAATTAAAGACTGAACACTTTTCAAGGCTGCTATTTCAGAATTCAGCCTTAATTCCCCAAAAAAGTTCCTGAACACTTAAGGGATATTGGATACTTGGGCTCCTGTGTTCTACTACGTTGATTTCTTGAAAAAATATTTTCTCATTGTTTTTGTTTTGTTCAGAGTTGTAACCAATCTTTTCTAAATATGCCTTAGCCTGTCACAGAAAATGACTGCATAAAACATATTTGCTTAGATGGACAATTAATTCAAGTTAACCAATCACAGTACTGCCCATACAGTGCAACACAAACCAGCTGTGGATTTCTCGGATTTGCTGTTCAGATTAATGGCGACAAATGCTGCCCCAAATGGGAATGTGCATGTGAGTTATTAGTCATATAATGTTTATTTTTAAACGGCATAAAGCCAGTGAAACCTTGAACTTCAGAACAGGTATGGAAGGAACAGATGGTAGGAATTCTTTCTGCCTTGCATACAAAACAGTAGCAGTAACAAAAAGAAATAATATTGCACAAAAGCTGTGCAATGTGTAATGAAACAGAACTCAATGAAGAGGGCTTAAATTGGAAATCATACTGGTAAACGGCGGTTTACCAGTATTACTGGTAAAACGTGCAAATCCTCTTTTGGCCAATTCACTGGATACTGAAGAGGATACATATTATGTAGAGATTTTACACAACAAATTTTATGAGTTGGATTGAGACTCTCCAATTCCGGTTCTGAGAACATTTCTTTTAGAAGAATTCATTGAATTCTTCCATCGGTGCCCCTTTAGATTTTGATACAGATTGTAGAAATTTCTGAAGTAGCATGAAATGTGAAATGGGTATCTTTGAGGGAAATGGAAATAAATGCTGGACAATTATTTCAGAAAAGCAACCCTGAATTCAATTTACTTTGATCCCAAATACAATATGGTACAGAGACAAAATAATATTTTAAGATAGGAAATAGCAGAATTTCTTACTTTTCAAGCATTGGGTATCAGCTGCACACATATTAGGATTCTTTTGCAGCACAGACCTATTTATTAGGAAATTACTTGCCAGATTTTCAACAATTATTTACTCTTATTTGTTACATATTTTTATCTAATTTAACAAAACAGTGAATTTTCATTTGCCAGTGATCTTCTGTCTTCGTAATTTTTTTTAATTAATAGTTCACATTATGTTTGATAGGTCGATGCACTTTCTTCTCTGATCTGAGCTTTATCACCTTTGATGGACATCATATGGCTTTATTTAAAGAAGCATCTTATATAATCAGCCAAACGCAAGATGAAGTTATAAGCATTCATGTTGTTGATGACAGAAATACTAATATGGTACTAAATTTTATTTATTATTTTGTATTTATAGAATGTGCGCAAATAAATAGTCTTAGGCCTCTGATCCAATAGAAGCTTTGAGGCTAGAAGAGCATTAATTTTGCTTTTCTTGGGAGCTGATATTTGAATAATCCTTTCCGTGTATTTTCAGATAGCGACCCTTTTTTAACATTTTCTCTTAAATATCAAGACAATTGAATAAAGGCTGCAGTTGAAATTGGGATTTCATGGGAGAGGAATATTTTTATCACACTGCTTAACTTTATGAGACATGGAAACCGCTTTATAATTATTTGTGAATAAATTCTTATTTTTGTTGTTTTATTCAGGGGAACGTAACCTACTTCAAGCTAAGTCTGGCAATGCTGAATTTAACATATCTATCTAACCAGATTATCATTGATCGCTTAAGTAGAAAGGTAAACTTTACTTCTTCTGTTACTTAGTCATAGTTGTTGACCTGTGATAAAACGCTGTATTAAAATTCTAAGTCATGATTTTTTTATTTTATGATTTAAGTTAGGTGGCATAACCTGGGACCACCATAGCATCTGAAAGAAATGAACAGAGTTCCTAATGATATTTATGATCTAAAATCCAATTGTAAAGGGAAATTGTTAAACACATTAACTGATTGAATTGAACTGATATCATTTGAAATAAAAGTTAAATTAAATTCAAATGGGTACTTTCAACAATCTTTTTTTTTTTTTGGCCTAGTAATTTTGGGCATTTCATTTGAGGTGGCCAAATCTCCTAAAATTTGTGTAGTCCTTTTTATGTCTGTGTTCAGGTCATGTTTTTGATTCTAAAAACCAAAGTTTCCAAATAAAGACAGTAACTTGAATAATTAATATTAATTATTGCTTATTAATTAATTTTATTATTTATAATTAACAATAACTGCTAATTATTAATATTTTTATTTATTTGTATCCTGCCTTTATTATTTTTTTACAAATAACCCAAGGCAGTGAACATATCCAACATACCTTCCTCCTCCTATTTTCCTCATAACAACAACCCTGTGAGGTGGATTGGTCTGAGAGAGAGTGACTGGCCCAAAGTCACCCAGCTGGCTTTCAAGGCTAAAGCAGGACTTGAACTCACAGTCTCCCCTTTTCTAGCCTGGTGCCTTAACCATTAGACCAAACTTACTTTATTACTTAATTATTTTCTGAACATACAGATGAAGTAGGGAATAAGAACCTTTTAAGCAGTAATGGTATATTAAATTTGCTGTCCTTTATGTGATTATTTAAAAAATGTATTTAGTATGTATTCCTGTATTCCTGATATATTCCTCAGCAATCATGCATAGGAATTCTCAGTATATACATATACTTTGCAGTTAGTGCTGGAATATTTTCCGTCCTCTTTCTTACATGTCTTGTAATTTTTATCAGTTTTATAAGGCTGGATAAACAGAATATATTTGATAAAGGTTTATTACTGCATAATTGCAACTGTAGGTTAATATGAAGAAGCAATAACCTAGCCTTGAAAGTAGTCGTGACACTTAAGTTAGCTAAACTGTAGTGCTATTAAGAAACAAGGATCTTTTATTTGTTTTTTTATTTTAGCCACCTAGTTTCACTACTGTGAAACTACATCAGAAATAGTTGTTTGAATGTGCTGTTAAGAAATATATCAACCTCAGTATGCAATTTTAGATCTTTTTGGAAAAGGGAAATTACAACAACATCCAGCTTTGTTGCTGTTCCCCAGTTGGAATATGTTTTGAATTCTCTTGTATTATATCCTCTATTTCCTTTCTATACTTCAATCAAATCATATCATCATTATGCTTCTTAAAGAACTTAATTTCTCACTGGCTTAAAAGAAAAAGCTACCCATTGTCCTAATGGCATTAAATTATACCCACATAACTTGAGTCATAATTCTCTAAGCCAAATGCTGCCTGCATTTTGATTGCTTCCTCCCAAGATTTGCTATCTAATTGAGACTTAGGAATTTAATATGCAAGTTGTACAGATTTTCATTAGAAGTTCCACTAGAATTTATTTGATTAAAAGATTTGTGTTTACAGAAAAGGAAAAGGACTTGTTAAAAGTATTATTACGACAAAATACAAACTGTAATCTTAAGTGTTGCCTAAATATCTCTTTATATGTTTTCTAGATAGTGGTCAATTCAAAATATGCTTGGCCTACTGTTAAAAAATATGATTTTAAAATTGAGGACACTGGCTTTATGTATCTTATTAAAACCCCAACAAATACTAAAGTTCAGTGGTTCCATAATACTGGGATGATGATAATTGAACATAATGCAACCAGCGATCAAAAAACAATGGGATTGTGTGGTAAGTAAATTTTAGTAAGATTTATTTTGTTATATTTTACTTTATTTCTTTTATCTTTATATACTCACCTGCTCAGCATACAATTTTATTAAAGGGGAATATCACATTTGTTTGTTTATAAATTACGTATATTGCAACTTGAAGAGTAATTCTGTAAGAAAATAGAAAATGATACTATAATAATTGCTCACCAAAAGTATTTATAGCTAAAATGAGGCTAATTTTCAAAGTGCAGAATAAAAATGCTAAATTTGCCAACAAACTATCTGCAGTACAAATTTTAATGCCTCTCAGATCATATTATAGCTATAGCTCAGTGAAAATGTTCTTCTACATTTAGAGTTTGTGAAACAGAAGTATGGAGGCTGAAGTAATGTGAAAATAAATAGAGGACAAATAAGCAGAAAATGTACTTTACATTATGCTTTCCATAAAGTCATATAAGGTATTTGAAAAATGAGTGGCCTGCTCTCTGCTACTATACTGAAGAAAATGCATAAAGATAAGATTGTTCAATATGAGATAAATTTAAAACAGATGATATAATCTTCTCCACTAAATCTAAATCAGGAAAAGTGCTAATGGAAATCTGAGCTGATTTCTCCTATTGAGAAAAGGGTAAAGACGAATATATAGGCTATTGAAATTAAATGTAGGAACAAATATTTTTGTTTGAAATTTTAAGCAATATGTATCATTAAACAAAACACAGAAGGACCTCACTATGAGATGTATATGGCATAAATGTGCAATTTATGAGGTACATTGAAAGTTCAATTTTCTCCTACCTATAGTTTGTTAACCATATCTATAAACTGTTAGAAAAATGGGTCTCTTCTAACCTGATGGAGGACCAGAAAGGAAAATGTGATTAAGTATAATTTCTTTCTTATAATAATGATCCATCCTTCTGAGGTAGGTAAAATGCGGACACAGATTGTTGGGGGCAATATGCTGACTCTGTAAACCGCTTAGAGAAGCTGTAAAGCACTGTGAAGTGATATATAAGTCTTAAGTGCTATTGCTGTAATTGTGCCAATCTGCATGTTTGGCTCTACCATATCATACGTCCAGCCAGTGGTAGTACTCATTTTATCATGCCTAGACCTAGGTTGTAATTCTGGATAGGGCCTTTTTGAAAAGTCAATCAGACTAGAAAGCCTGGAAGAAAGAAGTGGCAAACCACCTCAAGAAACCTGCAATTGATAGGTCACCAAAAGTTGAGCTCAATTCCCAAGACCATATTAAGCTTTCAAGGTTTGAAAGGCTTCCCTACTCTCCAGCCTTAAATAATGGGTTGCTCAATGACCCTTTCCAAAATTGATTTGCAACAGCCGCAAACGAGCATTAAGTGCAATCAGCTGCTTGAAGGTGAACTTTAAGAAACTAAATACAAGTATTCTAACTTATCATCAGTCTGGTTCAATAATCGATGTCTTTACAAAAAAATTCCCCAAACCTGCCTGAAGACTTATGGCAGCAAGACTTCTATGAAGTTTCAGATCTTACAAATAGTAATGTTGCTATAGGGAAGAAACACTTGAAATAAATATTAGTGACAAAGGAAAAGGACTTGTTAAAAGTATTATTATGACAAAATACAAATTCTAATCTTAAGTGTTGCCTAAATATCTCTTTATATGCTTTCTAGATAGTGGTCAATTCAAAATATGCTTGGCCCACTGTTAAAAAAATGGTTTCTGATTTCAAATTGTTGCTTTGACTAGCTTCTTATTTTTGTTTAACACTGATCTTAAAACAAGAAAAAACAATGTTTTAACAGTCTCTTGAGCTTTATTTACGCTGAAGTCCTACTCATATTTCAGCAACAAACATGCAGAAATTTATGTAGCAGAAAGACCTATTGATTGGAGTCAAATCTTGACTTAATATTATATATTTAAACTTATCTTTGATTATATCTGAGAAACGTAAGACAGAGATTTTGATTTGAAATGTTCTCCCCTTAGAGCAGGGGTGTCAAAGTTGCAATGTCATGTGATGTGTCATGACGTATCATGACTTTTTTGCCATTGCCAGCAATGGGGTGGGCATGGTTTTGCTATGATGTATCTGGCCCGCGGGTTGGCGGTTTGACAACCCTGCCTTAGAGGGCTGTTTGTTATCTACATTGACATCTTTTTGAGCTTGGCAAAAATTGTATTATTATCCCAGACTTTCAAAACTTTTATTGTTTAGAATTTTTCAGTTCAGTTGATATCAGAAATATTGAAATGTATAAAAATCTGTTTATATTAGTGTGCGTGTATGTATGTATGTATGTGTGTGTAAATTATTAGAATAATTTCATAATTTTTTCTATAGTTTCATAAACGATTAGGAATTGGCAAAACCAAAATGTGAGACAACATATATAACTAAATGAGGTTTTGGGGCAGATATCTTTGAAATGTTACAATGTAAAGATGGAGTTAGAATTCCTCAGTGACAAAATCAGTGGATCAGAGGAATGCTGTGGATATAATTTACTTGGACTTCAGTAAGGCATTTGATAAAGTAGATCACAACCTACTACTCGATAAGATAGAAAAAAGTGGGTTAGACAGCATCACCACCAGATGGATTTGTAGCTGGCTGACCGGCCGTACTCAGCGTGTGGTCCTCAATGGAACTGCATCTACATGGAGGGAAGTGTGTAGAGGGGTGCCCCAGGGCTCTGTTCTAGGCCCAGTGCTCTTCAACATCTTCATCAACGATTTGGACGAGGGGATAGATGGGGAACTCATCAAATTTGCGGATGACACCAAGCTGGCAGGAATAGCCAACATTCCAGAAGACAGGCTTAAGATACAGAAGGATCTGGACAGACTTGAACACTGGGCACTATCTAACAAAATAAAATTCAATGGTGAAAAAAAGTAAGGTTCTACATTTAGGCAAGAGAAACCAAATGTACAGGTATAGTATAGAGGGTACCTTGCTCAATAGTAGTAACTGTGAGAGGGATCTCGGAGTCCTAGTGGACAATCACTTAAATATGAGCCAGCAGTGTGCTGCAGCTGCCAAAAAAGCCAACTCAGTGCTGGGCTGCATTAACAAAGGGATAGAATCAAGATCACGTGAAGTATTAATACCACTTTACAATGCCTTGGTAAGGCCACACTTGGAATACTGCATCCAGTTTTGGTCACCACGATGTAAAAAAGATGCTGAGACTCTAGAAAGAGTACAGAGAAGAGCAACAAAGATGATTAGGGGACTGGAAGCTAAAACATATGAGGAACGGTTGCTGGAATTGGGTATGCCTAGTTTAATGAAGAAAAGCACTAGGGGGGGACATGATAGCAGTGTTCCAATATCTCAGGGGCTGCCACAAAGAAGAGAGAGTCAAGCTATTCTCCAAAGCGCCTGAGGGCAGGACAAGAAGCAATGGATGGAAACTAATCAAGGAGAGAAGCAACCTAGAACTAAGGAGAAACTTCCTGACAGTTAGAACAATTAACCAATGGAACAACCTGCCTCCAGAAGCGGTGAATGCTCCAACACTGGAAGTTTTTAAGAAGAGACTGGACAGCCATCTGTCCGAAATGGTGTAGGGTTTCCTGCCTGAGCAGGGAGTTGGACTCGATGACCTCCAAGGTCCCTTCCAACTTTATTATTATTATTATATTATTATTCCATTGCCACACGGAAACTGTATTAGCTTCCATATAGAATCCTTCAGTGTATCCAAAACTTTTTATGATTATATATACTGTAGCAGCTTATTTTTTTAATGCAGAGTGTTTAAAATATAGCCACATAAAGTTTTACTTCTGCCAATGGTGCAATGTAAGTTATTGCACCATTGGCAGTCATTATACTTTACATTATATAGCCTTAGTCAAAATCCCTCCTTTGATTTCATGGACATGTCCTTATTGTTTTCTTGGCAGCAATACAGATGTGGTTGCCATTCCGTTCAAGATCTATCGTAGAGTTCCAATGCTTCTTAATGATCTCTTACTAAACACTAATCAGATTTTTTTGAGAGTAACCAAGGTCTGCTAGGTGTTGTAGTTATTTGAGCATGTTAGACACTGCATGGAAATTGGCTACTGCTATAGACTGAAGATTTTACATATGAATCGGATGGGTTTGGTTAAATCATCTGGAGGTTTTTTCAAGGTGTGATAATTACAATGAGGCCAGTTTTATTATCCTGTACCATATGATATGTAGAATCAGGGCTTTTTTCCTCATAGAATGCCCAGAACGGAGTTCCGGCACCTTTTTTGGATGGAACCTTGTAGGGTAGGCAAAGCGGGTTGTATCACATGTGTGAGTTCTGGCACCTTTTTTTAAAAAAAACAAAAACACTGTGTAGAATAATATATATTGGAATTTTATCTTTGCTTTCCGTGCTTATTTTCTGTTTCTGATACGACATGTTCCGGTTCGACATGGTTACTTTACAATAGAGTAGAATTAGCTCATCTGGTCATGTTTCCTGTTTGATCTACCTCGCAAAGCTGAGAAAAGTTCTGTTTGTGGAAGAACTACCAAATTTAAATACCACTTATTCTAGTACAAATGGCTGTAGGTCCTTTCTAGATATTAACTGCAACTGTAAAATTAAGCAGTTTTCCTCAGGTCTTCAGTATTGGCGGGAAAGATTACTAAGTTTTCCTTTTGTTTGTTTTATGTTCTATGTTGCTTAGAATCTTTTCAGATTGAAGTGGGTTATAATAAGCATTATAAAATAAATAAATACATACATACTGTTCTCTTTTGCAGGTTTCTGTGATGGAATTTCAACAAATGACCTCATGTTACCTAATAATACAGTTGTAAGAACTGCAGCTGCTTCAGTTATCTTCACAGATAGCTGGTTGGTGCCAAATACATTGAAGTATATTGGAGAACCAAGAACCCATGAAGCTAATTGTTCAACCATGAATTGTTCATTTTGCTTAAATATGTTGTTGAGCCAAACATTCAGCAGCTGCCATTCTTATGTATGTTATTTTTGATTTCTACTTCAATTATTCTGATTGTTGACAAATCTGATTTTATATTAATACTGAGCAGTCAATCTATGGATTGCATTATGTTTATAAGAAGTTGCCCACTCTTGCAGTAGGACCAATAATATAGTTATTCAAGAAAAAATATTTTGGTGGTTTTGACATAGCTCGAATGCAATGGAATATTTCTATTTGAAGTAGGATCCATAATTCACAATAATCCAGAAATATGTGTGTGTGTGTGTGTGTGTTTATGTGTATGGTTGTGTGTGTGTGTTTGTGTGTGTGTTCTTTCCATCAGATTACTAATAATACTGGTTTTCAACTCTGTCAGTTACTAAACCAAATATATATTTTTATGTTACTAATCCAAATATATGTTTTTATGTGTGTTAAGGTTTCTCCAGCTTCTTTTTGTGATTTATGGATCCAAGACACTGGATATATTCAGGATCCATGTTTAGCACTGTCTGCTTATGTCGCCATGTGTAATAAATTTAATATCTGCATAGAATGGAGGAATTCTAGTTACTGTCGTAAGTATTAGTATTGAGACTATATACATTACTGGAAGTTGATAAGACAATGTAGTCTATGAAATTGAATAATATACTAGAGCTTAAGTTCAAGTCCAAAGTCAGACTTTTTTTGTTTTTGAAATGTTATTAATCGTTGGGCACTGTTTGTACTGCAAGTGCAAGTAAATATTGGAATAACTGGATTTTTTTCAGCACAATAAAGCTATATGAACAGAAGTACTATAAAAAAATGTCAGAGCAAATGATAAGATACATTAGCCATGAACTGTGGGAAAAAGGCTTTGAGCAGGGAAATTAATGGGATGAATGGTGAGCATGTGAAGGATTAAGCATTCCCAATTCTTCAGCTCTAAAATTCTTTTTACTTTCAAGTGAAGAAGGGGATAATATCACTGCTTATTAATGCCAATGCATCTGTTACATAACCTGGTGATTCCCATATCAATAGAAACACTATGTTAACACTGTATTTCTTGTCTTGCTAGCCTTTCCTTGTCCAGAAGGTTTCTCTTATAAGGCTTGTATCCATCCATGCAATACCCCAAGTACTTGTCAGAGTACAGAGTCAACAGCAGAAGATTCAGACTCTTGCTTGGTGCTCACTGAGGGCTGCACCTGTGCAGAAGGAACCATCCTTCATAGAATTCATTCTGCTCTCTGCATCCCGGAAGAGAAGTGTGGTAGGTGCTGCCCTTTTTTCTTCTGTAGTCTATGAGAAATATGTAATCCATCTTTCCAGATAGCTGTGATGAAATTCAGATAACATAATAGCCAATAGATCTCAAGTCATCTATATAGGTAACTGTCAGGTGCAAGTAATCAGGAACAGGAGTTGAGTTGAGTTCAAAGCACTTCAAGTTTATTACATGCTACCTATACAGAAGAATCTGATCTACTAACAGTTAAGGCAAATTGGTACTAGCTAAGAGTCAATGGAATTCAAGGGGAGCTGGATTTAGGTCTCTTGTGAGAGCAGATTTAGGACTCCAAACTGATAACACATTTGACCCTGCCCTCCAGCTCAGCCTGGTAATCTCCTACAGTAACTGTTGAATGGAATGGAAGCAACTTTTAGTTTGTGAACTGTGCTTATAAAGAGAGAAGCTACTTCTTATTTATTTATTTACTTGTCTTTGGATAGTATCTTAGTCTACAGAGGTTCTTCTTTTGTAATGTCTATTTGGATGTTAGGAATATTCTGCATATTCAGAAAATACTTCCAACTTTATCTCTTGTGGATTATAAATAGACACTAGAGACAACCCAAAGGTGTTTTCCCAAAAGACAACTGGACTTTCTTGGTTTTTTTCCTTGGGAAAAAAAAATCACTTCTCATCCAAGAAACTTCTTCAGTTCAAGGAAAACACTAAGAAAGTCCAATTGTCTTTTGGAAAAGCGCCTTTGGGACAACCATGGCCTGTATGATTGAGAATCTCCATAGACTCTAGAGACAAACCAATAGTTATAATGGGTGGTATAACAACGACTGTAAATAAATCAATAAGCAGAGAGATGAAGCTAGAGGTTACACTGTAAGCATCCTAATGATTCAGTTTCTTATGAATTAGACTTACCTTATAACTGTTTGCATAGGAGTTGAAGCATGTTATCTGCCTACTTCTGTAGTGCTGCAGCTGAAGGCCATATACATTTGTTGACATTGTTCACTCTAGTCTAGAACTTTGTTGGTTGTCACTGTTTTTACTAGTTACAGTAGATTTGTATATTGCCTTATTCCCAACAACTTTGGGTTTTGCACTCATGCAAGCATTAGACACGTAATAATGCCAGTGCCAAAAATATTTTTAGAAAAATGTTAATGCGTGTAGTTTTTCTAAACAATTCAGCCTGTACAGATCATTCTGGAGTGCCTCATGCAGTAGGTGAAATTTGGAAAAGTTCCAGTAGTGATTGCTGCATGCACAAATGTGTGGAGAGTGATACCATTGCTGCTGTGGAATACAACTGCTCTGTTAATTATGATGTCAGATGTCAACGCTTTGGGGAAGTGGCTTTAATTGTCCCTGATGATCAGTCCTGTTGTCATCAGAAAGTCTGCAGTAAGTGTTCTTGCATATTCCAGTATCTGAATGGCTTTCTTTTAGAAAAAAATAACAAGAGCAGATGTTTTGTTTTTAAAGTGCATTTTTGTTTTAAAAAAAAATCACACTAGTGGCAAGTGACTTGATTAGTATATAATTGTATATAATTTGAAGATTGTTTTTCATTCGTTTATAAGGCTGTGACATCGATAGCAAGGAAGAAAGTTGATAAAGGATGCATAAGATAATCTGGAATTGTTTGCAGCCTGTCAAAATAGCTATTTAATTGCCATTAAAGTTCCTAAGGTTACCAGGAAAATATACTGCGCAAGGAAATCATGTTTCAGAAGGTTACCTAAAGAACCTAAAGAGTTGCAATTATAATGTTTTCTCAATTTGGTCAAATAAATTTTACCAGTGAAACCAGTGTAGGCAGAATAAAGTTTGAACAAGAATCTGGAGAAGTTTATACTTTCTTATTTCAGTTATTGTGAGCCAAATTGAAAGAAAGAGCACTATATAAGCTGCTTTAACATCTCTGAAGAAAAATAGGATAGGAATCTAACCAGACATACAACAAAACATTAGAAAGGTGATATCCCATCTTTGCATTATTTTCCTATCCTGAATTAAAAGATTCTTTTTTATGCAGCTTGTTTTCTGAGAAACCTATATGTATATATGAAAAAAAAACAACAGTCCAATGCAATTGCCTATTGGATTCTGCTTCTGTTTGCTTGGCTCCAGGATCTTTTACAGGGCATGGGAGTACTGACGTTTTTTGAATTTATAATTGAAAATATTTCTGTGGCAATATTTAGCGCGGGTGCCAAAATGTGGCACATTTTTAAAGCTATACTCAGCAGCATTTTTTTTCATTCTTTTTGGGTCTGTTTGGCTATCCATAAAGCTTGCAATCAAAGCCTTTGTGACACCCTGGTTCCTGAATGCAAAGTCTTAGAGAAACTGGTGACCTATTATCAAGATAACTCCTGCTGTCCAAATTATACATGTGGTAAGTACTGAATTTAAAAAAAATCATTTTCAAAGCAGTCTTTACTGTCTTGCATAAAGACACACAGAGAGAGAGATGGCAGAAGGAAGTAATCCCCAAGGAGTGGATTAAGGATAAATGAACACCTGGAAGAGAGACTACTGATATAAGGAAAAAGTGATGGGAAACAACCACATGGTTGTGAGAGCTAATTTGCAAGAATAACAGAATAATAGAGTTGGAAGGGACCTTGGAGGTCTTGTAGTCCAATCTCCAGCTCAGGCAGGAAACCCTATACCAGAGGTCCCCAACCTTTGGGGCACCAGGGACTGGTTACATGGAGAGAGGTTTTTCTGTGGACCGGAGGGTGCGTGGTATTGTGTGCTGTTTGCATCCCATGGATGGGGCTTTGCTTGTTTATGCGGACCAGTTGCTGGCATGCCGCAGCCCCGTACCGGTCCGGACCGGGGGTTGCGGACCCCAGCCCTATACCATTTCAGACTAGAGAATTGTGCATGGGAGGAATCATGGGAAAACCTTATCTGGGACTACTAGTGAGAAATGAATCAGAACAAAAAAAAAAGGCCCAGGCAGCTGAGAATGACGCTTTCTTAGGTAGATAAGTTTCAGTGAAGAGAATGAATGGTTTAGGGCCCAGGTGAGATCAGAGCTCAGTGTTTTAGGGCTGAAGATGAATGAACTCACCAAACTGGAATTCAGAAATGACTGGATCTCAATGGGAACGAAGAGGAAACGCTCTTAAAACTTTTATTAAAAATTGAAAACTCTTGTTAGTCGAGGATTTTTCAGGATTAGCTATCTGGAAAAGCAAGCTGAGAGCAATTTCTCTTCGCAGAATTTCTAAAGGAGAAATTCTAGGCCAGAATTTGCATTGAGATTTATTTCTTTTAAGGCATACTAGTCTGCTTAATGAATCCCGTCATTTGGAAATTGGCCTTTGGTAATTTTTAATTGTCTTTTGTCTAGTTCAGGGGTAGGCAACCTTGGCTCTTTTATGACTCGTGGACTTCAACTCCCAGAATTCCTGAGCCAGCATGTCTGGCTCAGGAATTCTGGGAGTTGAAGTCCACAAGTCATAAAAGAGCCAAGGTTGCCTACCCCTGGTCTAGTTAAAAGCTGTCATATGTTATCTGAACTCAGATATGGACCATCAGATCCGTCATCGGGTTTTCCCATCACTTTCAGTGGGAGACTAAAGTTTGAGATACTGTATTGTTTGTATTTTTGGCAGAATTCAATGCTTTATTCCATCACCATCATTATTATTCCTCCTCCTCTCCAGTTTATGGGACCACCCCTCTCTCAACAGCCAAACCAATCTTAAGGGGGAGGACCCTGGATAAGGCAGTTTCTTTATCCAGGAAGTGCTATGTAGCAATAATAGGAAGATGAACCAAGATGCAAGGGTGGCAGTCCTGGTCATGGGCTCTAACAACAATTCTTATTGTTAAAAAAAATAAAATGGCAACCCTGCGTATAGAATTAGTTCTCAACTTACGATCACAATTAAGCCCAAATTTTATGTTGCTACGTGAGAAATTTGTTAAGTGAGTTTTACAACTTTTCTCACCACATTTGTTAAATGAATCACTGCAGTTCTTAAATTAGTACCACGGTTGTTAATTGTATCTGGTTTCCCCATTGACTTTCCTTGTCAGAAGGTTGCAAAAGGGGATTGCATGGCTCTGGGACACTGCAACCGTCATAAATATGAGTCAATTGTCAAGCATTCGAATTTAAATCATATGACCATGGGGATACTGCAACGGTCATAAGTGTGAAAAATGGTCCTAAATCACTTTTTTCAGTGCCGTTGTAACTTTGAATGGTCACTAAATGAACTATTGTAAGTCGAAGACTACCTGTACTAGATATTATTCCAGAAATTAATAATAGTACAGCAATACAAATGAACACTCCAAGTTTTATTTTACTTCATTTGGCTTGTTTATGTTCTGCTTATTTCAGAATGTGATCCAGAAAAATGTAAATCTATGGAACCAATTCCCCATTGTCGATCAGATCAAACTTTGGTTGCTGCCCATGTGGAAGGCACCTGCTGCTTCTCTTATATTTGTTGTACGTCAGATTTAATTCTTACTTATACTTCAAGGCCTCAAAGATATAAGAATAGTATCGTAGATCAATAATACTTGTTGTTTCATGCTTCACATCATACATTCCTGTATCCATATTGCTTCAAAGAAACATTTGGTGACTCAGGACCATTTTAAATTTCAGGTGGAGGTAATTTGAAATGTAGTTAGTAATGAGAGTGAAGATGAAGTTTCTTTAAAAGGAAAAGGAGGAGAAGAAGAGAATGAAAATAGATCATTATCTTCTAGGACTTTAAGAATTGCAAAAATGGGAATTACGTTTGAATCACGTATACATATTGTATTACTTCAGTGATCAATCCTGAAGTAATATTTACCTGCTGAAATTTGTCACTTGTGAACAATTGCCTAAAATGATATTGTGAAAAGGTAGGGTGTATAATGCCAACATACTGTAATGGTGCATTGAAAGCTTAACTGAATAAGAGCTTGTACCTCCTTCTTTCTTGTAGTAAAATTTGTATCGACCAGCTTGTATAAAAGATAAGATAAGATAAGATAAGATAAGGCAGTGATGGCGAACCTTTTAGAGACTGAGTGCCCAAACTGTAACCCAAAACCCACTTATGCATCGTCGAGTGCCGGGTGGGTGTGGCCCATTGGCTGGGCGTGGCCCACTGGGTGGGCGTGGCTGCAGTGTAACAGCAGACTGGGTGGGACTAAAAAGTTCAATCAATCAATTCCAACTTTGCAAGATCTTTTTTTTTCCTGCAAGAATTTGAAATTGACTGATTGAACTTTTTTTTTTTGTACGCAGCAGTGGAGACCTAAAGCGAGAAGGTTTTATAAAACCCAGCTGAAGGCCTAGGACAGGGGCGACGGCACGCGTGCCCACAGAGAGGGCTCTGAGTACCACCTCTGGCACCCGTGCCATAGGTTCGCCACCACTGAGATAAGGCAAGGCAAGGCAAGGCAAGGCAAGGCAAGGCAAGGCAAGGCAAGGCAAGGCAAGGCAAGGCAAGGCAAGATAAGATAAGATAACCTTTATTGTCATTTTTTACTGTGAGCACACTGGCACACATTAAAAATGAAATTCTGTTTTTATTTGTTGTAGACCAGGGGTAGTCAACCTTGGCTCTTTTAAGCTAAGCTGGCTCAGGAATTCTGGGAATTGAAGTCCACGAGTCATAAAAGAGCCAAGGTTGACTACCCCTGTTGTAGACTATGGTTAAAAGGAAATAAAATGTAGTTCACAAAACTGTATGCAATTATTGAAAACTGAATAATAAAAAATAGCCAACTTTATTTTCAGATAAATTATATATTTCTCTTTTAGCCTGTAGCATTTGTTCTGATCAAATTCCCATCTGTCAAGAAGGAGAAAGGCTCACTGTGAATGGCAATACTACTGACAGATGTTGCCCTGATTATCAGTGTGGTGAGTTTGTTCTCAGAGGTTATCTTAATTATTTTGCGGTGATTGTTCTGAGCTATAAATTTACAGATTTGTCATGAATTAAACTTTTTATTAATCTGCATTCATTTTCAGTTATGCAAGAAAGATAGAAGGTTAATACATTAATATTAATATTATTTATATATATTAAGATGTACATCAGTAAATAGTGAAGACTGAGACATTAAACACACAATTAAAACATTTTTATTTATATTTGATTAGTAAGTATCATCTTGAGTATTTTTCATTCAAATGGAATTCTTCCATTTCAAGAATATGAGGATAAAACCACATGTCTTCTATTTTTAACTTGCAGTCTGTGAAACCTTTCGTTGTCCTGAATTTAAATGTATGTTGGGAATGTCCCTGATACAAGTTTGGAGTCCAGAAAAATGTTGTCCATATCGTAGATGTGGTAATTATGTTTTTTTCTTCATTTATCTTCGAGCAATTAACAGCATTTTTTTTTTGAAAATACAAAGTCAATGGTGTTGGATTAAAATTATAACTATGGTTCAAAACAATCTAGAAATGTGGTAGGTTGATACTGAATAGTTTTTAGAGTTGTTTTATTGCCTAGAAAGTTTTCCTTAGTTTCCAAAATTATACAACTTAAATTCTTTGTAAAATAGCAATAGCCATGTATATAGCACCCTGTCGTGCAGTGGTGGCGAACCTATGGCACGGGTGCCAGAAGTGGCACTCAGAGCCCTCTCTGTGGGCACGCACGCCATCGCCCCAGTCCTAGGCCTTCAGCTGGGTTTTATAAAACCTTTTCGCTTTAGGCCTCCGCCGCCGTGTACAAATAAAAAAGGTTCAATCAATCAGCCAATTTCAACTTCTCAGGGAAAAAAAAAATCTTGCAGAGTTGGAATTGATTGATTGAACTTTTTAGTCCCACCCAGTCTGCTGTTACCACCGCAGCCATGTCCACCCAATGGGCCACGTCCACCTGGCACCCGATGATGCATAAGTGGGTTTTGGGTTACAGTTTGGGCACTCGGTCTCTAAAAGGTTCGCCATCACTGCTGTAGTGCTTTACAGCACTCTCTGGACAGTTTATAATATTAGCCTATTGCCCCCAACAATCTGGGCCCTCATTTTACCAACCTCAGAGGGATGGAAGGCTGAGTCAACCTTGAGCCCATCAGGATCGAATGCCTGGCTGTGGGCAGAGTTAGCCTACAATACTTCATTCTAACCACTGCACCACCACGGCTCATAAATTATCGTTATTGGGCTTTGATCTACAACCAATGTTACTAATGTGCAAAATCATCCTTTGCTCCTTTGCAATGAATGGAGTTGCAGTCAGGATAAACATAGACAAGGTGGACATGAAAATTCTGTTGAATGATTAGAAATTTTTTTACATACACTGAATAAATATTGAATTATGAAATGTATTTATTCAGTTTATATAGTTGCTCATCTCGGGCACAAAACCAAAATTTCAAGATCTTATAAAAGACTAACAGGGGCCGGATCAATCTAATCTCAGGGTCGGGGAGGATAATATACCAAAGGGTGGGTACTACGTGTAAGTACAAATGACTTTGGGAGACAAGATTAAATGCCACAGACTATGCGATGGTCGAATGAGAGAAAGCTGATCCCACAGAAAGAATGGAACTATGGCAAAAGTCTCAGAAGGAACCCTCCTAAGTTTCTTGGACTTGTAAAGGTGAAGCAGAAGAAGTGCACTTTCAGACTTGCAAGATTGAGGTTTGCCTTGTGAGGTAGTGGAGACAAGAAGTGGTTGCTCTATCCTTATTGTAGGGTTAGTTTAACAAAATCATTGTTACAGTACTTACAAACATCAGCCCATTGAGTGAAGTGGTCTCTCTTCCTTGAAAGTTTATACTATAATGAATCTTCAAAATATTTACAGTGTCACAATTTTTAGTGCAATGTTGGTTGTATTGTTCGAAAAATATAATTTAAAAAAATGCATTTGATGAATGTTTTGCTGTATGGACAGCTTTAGGAGGACTGATTTTCCCTTCTTCAATTTATTATTTTAGAGTGTGCATGTAATACAATTCCAAAGCCTCAGTGTAAACTGGTAAGAAATCTTACTGAAATATGCCTAAAGTATCTGCAATCTATTGTTGTTTATATGTATGTTATGTATATGTACATTCTTGAGAGCAGGCAACAGAATTTCATTTTTAATGTGTGCCAGTGTGCCCACAGTAAAAAAATGACAATAAAGTTTATCTATCTATCTATCTATCTATCTATCTATCTATCTATCTATCTATCTATCTATCTATCTATCTATCTATCTATCTATCTATCTATCTATCAATCATTGTTTTTTAGAATTTAGAGTATACTAAGATCTTTTGAATTCACCAATATTTATATATAAAAATAACTAGAATACTCAACAAGAATTGGTAGTTTATTTATGTTTCATCAATTGTTGTAATTATAGTACCTGTTTAATAAAACAAGTACATATTGCAAATTAATGCTCATTGTAGCACTCTTTCCTGTATATGAGGGTTTTATATGTTAATTAAAATTCTCTTGGTAGAACTCAACAAACTGAAAAGAGAGGTTGCTTATTAATCTGACATACATTTTTCCTCTGAGAAAAGTTAACAACATGTGTATTTGGGACTCTTTGAGACCCTTTGGACATGCTGACTCAGTAGGTTCAATAGGAGTAAGTCCTATGGGTCTCATCAGCATTGACTTTTGTTAAACAAGTGCAGAATTAATTAGTGAATGTGTAATTCAAGTGACATGTCCGAGAATCTCAAAATTAGTGATTTATATAAGACATCTAGGACTCAGATTTCTTTCTGGATATATATGTATGGGCTTTTACTATGTTAGAATCCATAACTCTGTTAAGAAGATACAGTGAACAGAAACACTGATATTGAAGAACAATATATGTGGGATAATATTGATATTTTTCTGATGTGAACAGGGAGAGAAAATGGTCTTAGATGAAAAATTCCAGAACAGCACAGAAAATGTTTGTCACTGCACTAAATATAAATGTTGTAAGTAGACCCATTTTTATTTTGAAAGCTCTAATTTATGCCAGTATGAATAATTTCTATTTATGAACCACGCATTTTAAGGCAGTATAATATATAATTCATATTTAAAAATCATGTTAAAATAAAGGAATTTTTATAAGCAAATGCTATTTCCCTGCAACTTGAAAAGACTTGGAAATAGCTAGCTCCATTGTGCCTAGCTCCATTGTTTTATGACTGCAGTAGGATTCTATTGATAGAAGTCAGGAGAAAGTTATGAGTAAATATTAATGTATTCATTTTCTTTCATCAGTGATGTTTATGAATATTTAAGCATGTTGCTTGTCTCACTTTCTTTGCTTGAAATAGCAATGATATTTCAAGCACGTGAACAATTTTACATAATGTCTTTTGTATTTATTGGCATTTTTCTAGCAAAAGACAAAGTATGTCTGAACAATGAAAGAGGCGTTCTGCTTCCAGGACAATCCATTGTTGAACACTCATCTGGTGGCATTTGTCACACTTCATACTGCACAAATATACTTGACCCTGTTACCAAGTTCTATCGGATGAATACCTCCATTATTGATTGTGCAGCAAGGTGCAAATCTGTAAGAAGTTCAAAATTAAACTATACGTTTTCACTGAGAAGTTAAAAAGAGAGAGAGGGGACATCATTCACATTTTCTACTCTGTTGTGATGGGAGAAGTGAAGTAAAGCAGTAGTTGCCCTTTCAATTCAAACTGCTCATACAGAAAGACACGCAATGAATTTTGGTTTTAAGCAGCAGTAAACCTAGATAATCTAAGCCCAAGTCAATGTAACCATTGAAGTATACAGTAGTTTAATATAATGGGTTTAAAAATAAATAAATAAACAATTCTGGTGAAGTTTCCAGTGAAGCAAAGTGTCTCTGCATGCACATACATTTGCAGAGAGCTGGGAAAGCCTTTCAAGGAGGACTGGGACTTTAATGCTTTGAGGACAGCTTGTTTGCTCATATCAAGACATTTTGTAAAGCTCCCCTTTGGAAAGTTTTCGATAGTTTCGGTTTCTTATATACTTTCCATAAACATATAGTGAATACAATACAGAACAAATGTGGGGTTTTTATTCTTGTAATTTTGCTATTTGCTTTATTGTAAACCATATTCAATATTTTATCATCCTTTTCAGCATCAAGTATATGAACATCCAAAGGATCTAACAACTTGCTGTGGAAAATGCAAGAATGTGTCTTGTGTTCACACATTCACCAATGGAACAATTTCATACTTTAAGGTACATTTTTTTTTAAGAAAGTGTGAGAGGTCCTTGGTGCTCTCTGAATTTGGTTGTTTTCTTGCAGACGTTTCATTACCCAAACGGGAAACATCATTAGTGCAAGTAGGGAGTTGGATTTGCTCCCATTTTATATTCTAGTGTCTTGCCCTGTCATTGTTTTTGGAGTGGTATTGGTAGTTCTTTGATTGGGCTGTTGACTGTTAGCTTGTTTGGCAGTTCCTTAACTGGGGCATTGTTTGCTTCTTGATCGTTAATATTAATCTTGGTGTTAATCTCTGGGTGTTGATTGTTGGTGGGGAGGGGTTTTGGTCTTTTTGTTCCTTTTTGGGCTTGTTGATTGTCTCTTTTGAATGGTTTGTAGTTGTTGTTTATGTCTATGTGTCTGTTGATGGCCAATTTGTCAGAGTGCCAGGTTTCCAAGAATTCTCTAGCATTTTTGGACTTGGCTTGGTCAGAGTTTCCCAGATGAAACTATGGTTAAGTCTGTGTTGTAAAATTAAGGAGTTTTCATTATGTCTTCTGACTGCTAGTTGGTGTTCATCTGTGTAGTATGTCAGTCTTCTGCCTGTTTATCCTATGTAGTGGCTATTGCAGTCTTTATATTGTATGTTGTAGGTGACTCCTGTTTTTTCTTCCTGGGCTGCTGGGACTTTTGGTTTATTTGAGATGTTTTGGGAGGCTCTGTAAAGGGTGTTCATTGATTCATTAAGTCAAATCCTGAATTTCATTTGCAATTCCAAATACTACTCTTATCTTGGCTGGGAATTCTCTTTTCACTAATCACAGTGATCTGAAATCAAATGGTTTTCTGGAAATACAAAGTTGTGCATACTTAACTATATGATATATTTAGTAGCATGATAGATTTAATATTACAAATCCTGAGTATGTTTAATACATGACCATAGCCATTCTACAACCCATTACAAAAGACCCAACTGTGCATAGCTCCCAAATATTTCAAATCCTAGTGAGCATTACTTTGATCAACTTATAGCTCACAGAACACAAGGAAATGCTGATCTTGGTGGTGAGCTAACACAATTCTTGATAATTCTTCATGGTGGCATTTCTTCATAGTGAAAGTTATATATACAGTATGGTAAACACTAAGTCTAATTTGCTATCCACGAATAATGATTATTCTATGGCACTGTTCTTTGGTACTGATTTACTCTTCACATGGACCTACATTGTTGTGAACATTATATTGACCCCATTCAACCGTGGAAGGATTTGGTAAGGTTTAATATAATTACTGCATACAGCTACAAAAAAAATGTTCTCAAAGAGACCTCAAACATACATAGCATTGTAGATTAAGAAAAAGGGTAATAGCAAACCGAGCTTTTGGAATTTGCTCCAGTTTTTCTAACTTTCTGCATAATACCAAGGTGCTTTTGTATTTCTGATAATGTTTTTTAAATATTTTGTAGCCTGGGTCAAGTTGGATCTTAAACTGTCTCAAATATGATTGCATAAATACACCAGTTGGATCAGTTCTAATTACATCACCCATAAGCTGTCCACCTTTTAATGAAACAGAATGTGTGAAGGTTAGTGCTTCAACATATTTTTTTTTTCATATAATTTTATGGGGACCATAAAATTATTGCATGCAGATACATCACCAAATATTTATAGCTAGACACCAGAATATAGATTAATTTTCCCATGGAAAGCATTATTTCTCCTGACACTTACATCTACAGCTACATAGCACTTCTATCTGTATTAGTTTAGGTTTCATAATAGCAGCTAATTATGTTTTTCATATACAATTAGAATTATAACGAAGAATTTTACAGTGCATCTGACTTTTATTTTTGTATATATTTAGATTGGAGGATACATTGTCCCATTCCTTGAAGGATGCTGCAAGACATGTAAGTTGCTACTGAAGCGTCACTTTGGGGACATGAAAGGGAAGAAATTTTAAACATTGATTCAATACAAAATTCAAAAATATTATTGGTTACATGTTCATAAACAGATTCCAGTCTTTGAAGGTAACTTTTCTGGTTACCTGAAGCTAGGATGAAACAAAGTTTATCTGTAATAAAAGTAGTATCTTCACTAGTGATGACTAGATAGTTTGTTAATAATGCTTTTTTAAAATTGTCATTTTAGTGCATATATTTATTCAGCATAATCACTCATAAACAATCCAGTTGAGAGGCTACTGTTGATAGCATAAGTAAAGATAAAATGCTGAATATTGATTTGGGGCATCTATTCATCATGTATAATATGTTCAATTTGTAATGTCCTTAGGTTCTGGAGTATCATTTTTGCTCCCATTCCCTGTTAGCCCAATTACACCTACACCTAGCCTTAAGTGTAATACAGGTACATTTTCTTGGAAATCAGTAGGAATGAATCCAAACAGAGCCATTGTTGATTTCCAACAATGTACTCCCTCCTAGAAGCATAATGCCCCTCCCATCACAAAAGAGCTGCATTGTAGTACTAACTGCTCATTCTTCTGATTTGCTCACATCTTTTCATTTTGCACTGTATGGGCAGTGCATTGTTGTTAGCCAACAATGTACTGTTGGCAGTAAGCATTTGCATAGTGTTTCATTTGCTGCACGATTTATTTATTATTTGCTTAACTGAGTAATTTCAACACTGCTGTAGAACATAGAAAAATATTTTTTGCTTATTAAAGCTTGCTGTTCAAATAACACTTCTGCAGAGAGCATGGCATGTTTCTCTATCCAATGTTATATCCTCAATAAATATCTGAATAGTCTCATTTATTTTATTATGATACAGAAGGATTAAATATAACAATCTGGCAATAGGACAAAAATGAAGAACATGCAAATCTATAGTTAAACATGCTAAATATGATATGAAAATACAGGATTCAGCCATCCAGGGAAGCCAAATATGGAGCCATTAACAAACTAATTATAATTATGGCTTTAATAAAGGAGAATATTTGTAACTCAGAGTTGACATGAGGGGTCCTTGGTGCTCTCTGAACTTGCTTCTTTTGTTGCAGAAGTTTCATTACCCAAACTAGGTAACATTATCAGTGCTAGTAATGCTTTAGACTAGCACTGATGATGTTACCTAGTTTGGGTAATGAAACATCTGCAAAAAAACAAGCTCAGAGAGCACCAAGGACCCCTCAATTATGGCTTTGTTATCATTTAGGCAGATGAAACTATAGTCCTATGCTACATATTGCGCTGAATTTAATTAATCAAATTATGTTAGTTACACATGTTGGGGATAGGAAACGCCTTTCCTGCTATGCCAATCTTACAGCTTATCCTGATTGCAAACTGCTTACTGTATTTAAAACAGACAGCCAATTCAAGAGAAATGAGATAAACAGAAGGTATTTAGAAAATTGTATGGCTGAATTGTCCCAATCCTACAGTTGCATCTCATTTGTTTAATTTTCTGTGACCAGTTAGGCAACAATGCTCTTTTTTCCATCACATTGTTGAATTGTGGAACTGAATTGAGACTTGACTCACAAGGTCATATGTAATACAATACTGTATCAAATCATTTAAACACAATTCTCAAATTCCTTACCTATGTTACATTAAACATTATTACATTACATTATTACATTAAATTCCTTACATTCGCTAAATATGTTGTAAATTTCAGCAGAATAGCATATATGCATAACTATGTATGTTAAATGTTATAAATATTGAATAGACACATTATCTTGATTTACATATTTATCATGCCCATTTTGTTGTACAGTATTACTTTACCTAGATTAAACTACTGTCAGAACTGTTTTTCAGATTATGGAGTAAGGTATTAATACTACATAGTTTGAGGACTTTGGGTTAAATCTATTAACTTATGTTTGTCAATCTGAATTCTTAGTTAGAAGTCTGAGTTGACATCCCAGGATTTTAAAATAAATGCATATGATTATGTTTCTGCCACTTTAGAAAGTGGACATCTGGCAGCTGTGTAAGTTTCACTCCCCTTGGTGGCAATTGTACCAGAACAAAGCATAATCTTTATAGTATCTAGACACTGCATCTCTAGTGTTTTGGGCAAACCTTTTTTTAAACCCTTATTTTAAAAATACCTCATTTAAAAATTATAAATACAATAGCATCAGAAGTTACTTCATTTCTTTTCATAATTATTTCATAATTTTTACTTAGCATATTTTATCCCCTTTTGGGGTACAGCTATGCATAGGGATGTTCATATTTTCCAAACAATTCATTATTGTAGGCAAAGAAGATGGAAAATTCTGTAAAAAAGTGACTGTTAGAATGACAATACGCAAAAATGATTGTCGAAGTAATACACCGGTAAGCATTGAACCATTACTGTTTGCATCAGCTCTGTTAAGGTTTGGAAGTCATGCACATATTAACCCATTTTATTTACTGGAGTTTTTTGTGTATTTATTCCCAGGTAAATATTGTTTCCTGCGATGGAAAATGTCCTTCTGCAAGCATATATAATTATAACATTAATACATATGCAAGATTCTGCAAATGTTGCAGAGAACTGGGACTACAAAGGCGAACTGTACAACTATATTGCAGTGGTAACTCAACCTGGGTCAGCTATACAATTCAGGAACCCACAGACTGTTCTTGCCAATGGTCATGAAGCAATGCTAAAAGAGGTCTTTTTCTTAAACAGCTTTGGAGGCAATTAATTTTATTCCCAGAATAAATTCAGAATGTTAACAGTTCATCACTTGATAATGCAGCTATCTATAGTTAGAACAAGAATTACTTTTAAAGATGATGTTTAACATTAATGTTATATGTTTTTAGTATGCATCCCCATAAGAAAATGATGCTTCACTGGAATGTTCAGTATTTTTCAATGTTAGTTAATTCTATATAATTGGCTACTTATATAACTGTATAAATGGTTTACTTATATGAACAGTAGAGTGTGTGAAAAGATAATGGACAATGCCTTGACAAATATAGCTGTGGGTCAAATTACCCTATTGATGGAAATTATTGCCATTCTTTACCATAGGTTTATCATTAATGTTGCATTGTTCACATAAAGAGACTGTATTAAATATGAAAATAGATTGAGGATTATAATCCTTTGGATCCCCTTAAAAGAATGGTATGATTCAACTATATGGTAAGAAAATAGCTGCATATAATCATCTTGGATGATGGGATGTGGTGATTCAATGAAATAGGAAGCATACACATTTAGATATGCACAATGAGGTGCGTCACATCTCTGACAGGTAAAAATGGGATGTTTTATTCCAAAGTACTTTTCATTGAAACAAAATCAACAAAAAAACCCCTCTTTGTTAGTTCATAATCAATTGCTAACAAAAACATTCCAACCTAAAAGGAGAAATCTGGGCCCTTTTGAATTTCATAAATGTAAGTTCTTGCCTTGTGCCAACTTTCAGAAGAGAGGTTGCATGTAAAAGAATGCAAACCATGTAATTATATGCATGTTTTCAGCGTGGATAAGTGTATATATAAGCTTGATCTCTGGTGGGAAACATGCCTTAAAAATAGTTTATGGTGTAATGAGACATATTTTTATAGGAAATGTACATGATCTATTTCAATTATTTAGCATAACAAAGAGCAGTCAATATCTCTTAAAACATTGGGACAGTTTAAAGAAATATTACAATTTATCACATTAAAAATAATTCTGTCATACAAACAGAATATTTGAAAAATAAATATTTAGCCATCTAAAGTATAATATTTCTGTTATTTGTGGGGTTCTTTTCTATGCAGGAATTACAAATAACAAAACCATGGATAATGAAACTTTGAAAAAAATGTACTTTAATCATGCACAAATGTCCACCTATCCTTTTGCATGTCTGTAAAGTAACTGAAAGTATAGAAAAATTATAGGTACACAACAAATGAATCTATTCCCATCTCTCTTACTTACATCAACTTAGTTATTCCTACAGAGAATGAGTTCCATAGTGCTCCAAATCTTCTATGGAGTTTTGAAACAAATTTCAAAGGATTTGCTCACCCTTCCTTTTTACTATTCACAAACAGCTTTTATTATCTACAGTTCCATTACCCAGAGCTTTGCATATCCACAGTTCCTAAAAAGAGATCAGATTTTCTTATTCACGATAGATTCATTTTTCTCCAGCCGTATGCTGCATTTTAAACTACTTTTGAAACTCTTGAGAATACATAGTTTGCTGTGTGATAATCAACTAAAGTAATGAGAACTTAAAAAGAGCCCAGAGTAGTCAAATTGTCAATAAAAAGAGTTTCTGTTTTTCAAAAATGTACTTTTCTTTTGCAGAGATTATTTAATCAAAATACTCATAAACCAGAAGTCCAATGAAAGCTTTTATCTATGCAGCCAGTTTTAATGTAATATACTATTAATATACTCTACCTCCTGGTTTTAAAACAGAGAATCCTTTTTCTGCAGTAGGGTGTATTTTATAAGTAAGAAATTCCCGAAAAACAAAAGGTTCAAAAGGTCTGTATTATTTATATGTTGAGAGCCAGTTTGGTGTAATGATTAAGGCACCAGGCTAGAAATCTTGAGTTCTTGTACCATTTTAGGCACAAAGCCAGTTGGGGTGGCTTTTGCACCTGTCACTTTCTCTCGGCCCTAGGAAGAATGCAATGGCAAACCACTTCAGAAAATTCATAGGTTTTTCCAGGAAGTTGCCAGAAATGAAGACTGATTTGAAGACACCAAAACCAAAACAAAAAAAATGATATTTAATGTTTATGCTTCAGGTATAAGGTGTGGCTGCCTCTGTCTGTTGAGAAACCCACCAAAATGTCCCTTCATTAACTTGAACATTCTAGTGATACAAATGGATTCTGACCACTCATAGTTTCTTAGAATTAAATTCAAAGATTTTGGAAAGTTTACACCATTTGTTTTTTTATGTATGCTGCATGATAACCATTAATTTATTAGGAAGATCTGTATTTTAGCTTACTATTCTTTAAAATGTTACATATCACGATTCTGCTGTACATATCTTTATTTCATTTATATCATATTTAATAACCCTTAACAGCATATTATAAAATATAACAATCCAATGTTGGTTTTAAAAATCACATTAAAAAAAACCGAATTAAAAATGTGTCACTTTTGTCTTTAAATCTAATGCAGGTGAATAAATTGTTCCGAAAAAAATCAAAAGGCAGGCAATTTTATTCCAGGATCTCTGACTTTCAGAGATTATGTATTAATCACTGTATTAATGTGTTCTAAAGATGAAATTCATTCAACAAAATATCCTTCATGTTTATTGGACATCACAAAAAATGTTTAAAAATAGTTGGCTACAAACCTCATTAGTGCTAGAAGTATACTATAACAGAAGGGTAGGAAATTCCCCCCCCCCCAATTGTCCCATTAACATGAATTTGATCTATATGGTTTAAAGATGTGAATGTGATTTTGAATTGTTGTATGTATAAAAAAAATCAATTATTATATGAGGAACTATCATGGGGAATAGCATAAAAAATACTTTTTTATGATGGAAAGACTATGCCACCGTCAGTCTGGTAATGTGAGTTTTCTCTCTGGCTTTCTACTGACCTAGTGGTCAGGTTTTCATGTTGCATTTAAAAACTGATCTAATGTGTATGTGACAAACAAACAAGGATTTCTTCAGCTGGTTCTCATTGATAAGGCTAGCATCAATCAGTGTGCAGCATTACCTGTAACAAAGAGCACTCATAGAAGTCAAAATCAAACCAAATATTCTATAGCAGAAGCAATTTCCACTGATGGAAAGGGAAATACATTCTCCTGCGGCACTTCATAGGCCCGTTTCCCACTTCTTCACAGGGTCCCCTACACTTCTTGAACAGATTTCAAACGCACCACAGGTAACTAAAAAGAGGAAAGGATTAGAAAGTTGAATAAATTTTACCTTCAGAAAGATGAAATAATAGAGTTTTCTAGGCCATCTTGAGTCTTGGAAAGATAGTCCATTAGTATTAAAATAAATAGGTGAATTAAAAAAAGTGTACATAGCAGTGTCTATTGAAAATAATACAGAAAGTGCTTTTTAACCCACGGATATGCTGATCTGAGGCAGTTTAAAAAAACCTGTAAAACAATCTTCAGTAAAAAAAAGTCTTAGTTACTACTATTATTGATGAATGGTTAATATGCTTTTCATTGAGTATGTTTTGTGATCAAACTAATGAGCGGGGTGTGTAAAAATATATCCAGTATTTCCCTGCGTCTTCCTGTTAGGAGAACCTGAAATATAAATAAAGCATTTTACAAACTTGATCTCCCAAAATGCAGTTTGTTCCACATTTCATGTTTTAATTACAACAGAGGCTTAAACTACACTTGTGCTTGATCTTTTTTTCCTAATCCCACAGCTGTGTTATTTAAGTCCTAGTCCCTCTTGGCTGTGTTGTTGACTTCTTGCTTCCTAAGTTTTTAAAGAGGACAGAAGATAGAAAAGGTCTATTTTAACTTAAACGTTTTGATCATGCTCTAAGAGGCCCAAGCTGTATTTTTCATTAATGCAGGGTGATGTCCTTGAAGTCTTATTTTCCATAGCCATTCTGAAATTCAATTGGATTATCACTACCAGTTAAGAAGATGCTGTAGTCTTGTGGGTTTTTATAGCTCAGATCTGGTGGCCCTAAATTGGATGCAGACTTTGCCATATATTCTTACATTTAAAGGACAACATTTCAAGGAGGACAACCTAAAATATTAAACTTTTTGTAATGGTGGTATTTCACATTAGTCCTCCTCTCCCATTCACACATTCATCTCCACTGACCTACACCTCACCCATAGCCCCTTACTCTTTCCTGACCCAGTTAATGGATATATTCACATATGTTCTCCTATTTCCTCCCAAGCTGCAATTCAGACTGGGTGAGAAGAAGTTATGTGAATTATGTAGCTTTGTAGTTATTCAGGCTTCAGTGATACAGCATTACTGTATTACTGTAAACTTTGAATTACTGGAAACATATTGGTGGTCATGCAGCTATGGAGGTGTAAATCCAGGAAGACCTCCAAATTGGAGACTGCTGTTCCATAGGGAAACGCTACCCCCTTAAGAGTCAAACCTGGTGCAATCCCAGAATCACTAGTATTCTGAATAATTTTTTTCTTTCATCATGTCCAATTCTCAAAAACTGCCTGGCAAGTACCTGCAGTTTTCTTGGCAAGGTTTTTCAAAAGTGGTTTGCCATTGTCTTCTTCCTAGGGCTGAGAGATGGTGACTGTCCCACTTTTCCTAAAGATGCTTGTCTTTTCCCAGAAGATGTTTCACTTCTCATCCAAGAAGCTGAACTGAAGAAGCTTCTTGGATGAGAACTGAAATGTCTTCAAGGAAAAACAAAGTTTGCCTTTTGAAAAAGTCTGAGATGGTGTAGGTTCTCCTGTTTAAGTGGGGGGCTGGACTAGAAGACCTCCAAGTCCCTTCCAGCTCTATTCTATTCTATTCTATTCTATTCTATTCTATTCTATTCTATTCTATTCTATTCTATTCATAAACAATTTTTTTTCATTCATTCTCTCAAGTTTTGTGGCTAGTCTGAATGCTTAAACCATATATACAAAAGAAAAAAAACCTTTTTAAAACAGAAATACTGACAAATACCTTGATGATACAAATCCATACTTTCTGACATACATGTTAGCTCTTTCACTATTAATTAGACATCTACTTTAATTTTCCTGGATATATTCATTCACTCCACAATTTTATTTAGATCTATTATCCTTCTTTTTTCTCTTCATTTCATAGAAATAACACATAAGATTTTTTTTCTTTCTTTTCATTCATCATGTCGTACTCTCTACCATTTAATTCTTTTACACTCCCAAGTTACCATCTTCCATATCCTATGGTAATCAGCAGAGGCCCTATTGCCATTGACCTAAACCATTTTTATTTTGATCAAATGAGTTCTTCACATACTCCTTTTTAGTAAAATAGATAATATCTATACCAGATCACCAGCCTCTGTTGGATCCATGGCACATGCTTGATCACTTTTTAGAACTTTTTAGCCAGTGTGCTCAGAAGAACTTAAACTGTTCTATGCAAGCTAGGGCATTTAATGTTGAGATTACCTTGTATGTTGTTGCTTGTATCCCACTAATTATAAAGTATATGCAGTGTATTGATATATATGCTGAATCAACATGAGAAAATCAATGCTTGCCCTTTTATTAAAAATAGTAAAGCAAATTACCTACATACAGGAACCTCTCCTTTCTGATAATGCTGCTTTCTAAGTAATTCACTTTATTAAACATTCATTGTCCAACATTCCTCTCCCCAACAGAAAGAAAATATGGTATGGTGACATATGCCAGTTTTGGCTGGGTTACACTGTAACACATCTAAATCTTCTGTCAACAGTGGCATGGTGTTGCATTCATTTTTTAAAAAGTCTCCCTCTATGATCCATC